TAGTAGTCCTTACCTGGGAACTGCGCATGGGCAACTCCCAACAAAGATTTTGTACAAGTGCAGCTCAAGAGCAGAGCGTAAAACACATATGGTGAAAAGAGGAGCTGCAGCAATGTGCAGTATGAGGAAAAATATGGTGTTTTTTGAAAATTAAACCATGTAAACCTGTTCTGGTACAACCCCTAAATAAGATTTTGAACCTGAAAATGAGCATAATACCACCTCTTGACGAATATGACGAAGCATTTACTTGCGTCGTGAATCTGAAGTAATGTACCGTGTTCAATGTGTTGTGGTCTCCCACCTACAATGACGCCCCAGATACAACTACCGCTAACAGTAGCAGTATCTCATGCTTAAGTACAAAACACAGATGAGCTGAAATTCACCTTTTATATTGAAGGTAAATGAATGATGTCTACAAATTTCTTAGCTACGATTCTCCAGAGATACACCTCTACTGCAGAAACTCCTTTCCATGAAGGAGAAGATGAGCGAAGAGAACCTGGATGAATGTCAGAGAGCTTTGATAAGATTTGTGGTGAAAGGGTTGGAATCAGAGCAGACATTCGATAAGAACCGGATTTGATAAGTACAATCACAATCAGTCTCATGGGTATTGTAGTATTTAGACCCTTTAGTTATGTCACCTGATGGAAAACTCATAATTTCACACAAACTTTGTTGAAATGATTAAAACTGATGGTCATAACATAACCCTAAAGGAGTGTCTCATCATCTGGGAGTGTCTCATCATCTGGGAGAGTAATGTGTTTCTATTTTAAGTTAATAATGAGGACATTACTTTAAAAAAACAACAACAATGAAATGGGAATACAGAAAGGAAAAAAACACTTCTGGAACCAGTGTCTCCCCCTAGTTAGAGGCAACTATTAGGTCAGAAGAAATACTGTTAGGCTTAACCTACATAAAGTGAGACTGCATGTACATAGAGTTTACATAAACAAAACAAGTGTAAGTCCCTATCTGCTACTGTACAAAAAATACCACAATGCAGCTATTTATATAGGCCATAAGTTGAGAAATCCATAGCCCAGCAGAAAGAGGTTGGCCTTTCCTCTACAGATCCGTTTTCTAGAGTGGATCAATAGGACATCAGCTACCACCGAGAACCCACACAGGCCCATGACTACAGCAACCAACCTATGAACCAGCCATGCTAAATAAATCATCATGCATGGTCGCGGTCATCCTCTATTAGCTAATGCAACTTTCAGTGGTCCTGCAACTCCCTCTGCCAAACCCCTCACAAACCCCTTTGGGGTAACAGTAAGTATGTGTGTGAACTTATAAAAGAGGGAGAGATGGGGCTAATGATGTAGTAGACCAATATTTATTTACGTCTCCCTGTTGCTATGTAGAACAGGTGTAGCACCAGAGGCAACATTATGTCTGTTCTACAATCGCATGAGGTGTCGCAGGCTGCATGTTCAAGTCAAATGTTTAAAGTCAAACAGCAGATTAAAGTTGGACTGAACCAGTGTAACTTGTTTAGCAGCGAAGGGGTGCTAAAGAGGAGGAGTTATTCTTAGCCCACAGACAGTGACAACAAAGACCAGATAGAGAACCTCCCCAAGGTGTAGCATTTTGCATGGTGTTTAGTTATTTATGAGAAGTCTTCCAGGGAGTGAATTACAGAGGTCATTATGGCACATGCATGTCTGTGGATACAAAGAATCACACAAACACATACAGATTATGTTGTCAGCAGCATCTTGCCCTCCTTCTCCTCATTGTCATCCGATGGCCAAGCGTGGATCTTGCCTCTTTTTTTTTTTTTTCTTACCCACTCTATCCATCCTGCTTTGTCTTATTCACTGCAATTAAGACCTGGAATGTGCAGAAGTCAGGCTGCTGGATTATTCAATTTGTGTCTCAGGATGTCATATCAGTCTAAAAAAGGCATGCTGGGACATGGTAAGGAAGAGCTCCAGCTCTCAGAAAATGAAGGAGGAATGGAGAAAGTGTGTTGGTAGCCATGTGGAAGATTGTGGGAGAGGTAGAGACGTGCAGAGAGGGATGCAGTATGTTGACTCAAATAGGGCTGGTTGATATAACAATAATGATAATTATCGCAATATAATTGCCCTCAATAACAATTTAACAGATGTTTAATAAATGTTTGCTTTAATTCACTTGAATCATGAACAAATTAGCATTAAAGTTTCTATTAAGATGTTTATTTTGTTGAGGAAAAGGGACTGAAAAAAGATTTTACTTAATTTCGCTGATGAATATTTTTTGAGAAAATTTTTTTATCATAATTATTTTGAATGTTCTACCTCAGATTTGTCAAGTGATCCACTGTTTATTAAGTGACCATAAAGAATAGTTTAAAACCACAATTAAGCATCTGGTTTCTTCAACTGTCACTCAAGAGCAAAAATCCGCTTTAAACTTGAAAGAAATAATGATTTTACATTTATCGTGATAATTATCGACATTGTATGATAGGAACTGTTTTATCATAACATTTTTGGCCATATCGCCCAGCCCTAGACTCCAAACTTAAACATTCACGCCACTCTCCCTTCATCTTGCAGATAAACCTTATGGTTTACAATCAGTGTTTGATTGGGGTGAGATGTAATGACTCTGAATTCAGTTTGCATTTGTGTGATAGAGATCTGGTTAGTGACTGGATGAATTATTACTATCCTATGGTTTAAAATTCTGCACCAACAGAACAAATGCACTTTGGTACAAAATGGACATCCTCTCCTTCTCTAATCAAAGTCACTACAGTAAAGTGGGCTGGATGTTGACAGCTTTGGTTTTGGTTTCATATTGTCAGACACACTGTGGACCCCAATGCTCAGTGCCATGACCTTTCAGCTGCTTAGCCTTTTTACCACAAGAGCCCCTCTTTCTTTTTCATCTCTCTGCCTCTCTGGCTATCTTTCTTCTCAGCAAATCTAACAGCCTGTCACCCTAGTCAATTTATCACTGAGCATGCATACTGACTAAGGCCATGAGCACAATGAATGACGCTTGATGATTTAACATTGCAGGACATTTTGCATAACCAAGCACAATTTCTAGCTAGCTGTCAGAGCATATACTTAACATACTTGACGACAAAGCAACAAGGTAGTGTTGCACAGCACAAAATACAGACACAACAGGGCATCATTAAACTCTCCAACTCTGCATGCACTATGCACACAAAGACATGAGAGAGATTCACTTCCTGCCTGCTTGCTAAAAAATTAATAAACAGCAGCGCGCTGCAATTTCTGTTTGTGTCCTCGTGAGTTAAAGGATGTTATTTTCTATTTGTCTATCTTATTGTCAGCAAGTTTCACGAAAAGACCAAAACCAACAGTAAAATGGTCCAACTAACAAAGCCGGATGCAGCTTATTTATCAGTTCCATAGATACTCCATTTTGTCAAAAAACTATTAAAAACACAAAAGGTTAGCCACACTGTTGAACTGGGCAATCATTACAATGAACATGGGTACTATAGTGTATTTTGAATTCGTTCCACATACATGTCCTGCTGCAGTAAATACTCAGTATGGCACTAAATGTATATTGAAATTAGTCTAACAAATGCAAAATTAACTATTTGAGTAACAGTTGATAAAATAACTAGTGTCTAGGTGTTTCAGAAAATGATTTCACCTTTAAAAAAAAAAATCTGTTTTTAAAGATTTACATCTGAAGACAGGATGTGGAAGCAGAAAATACAAAGATAGAATAAATGACACTTGGACTGCTGCTATGGCATTTTCACTCCATTCTTGCAGCTTTCTCTGGCATGCCTAAATAGTCTGACTTTGTAAATGTGTGAAAGGCCTAAAGAACAGAGACCAAGGAAAGGTGAGAGTAACGTGGGTAGGGAAAAATAATGGAGAGAGGGGAAAGCATAACCTGAGGCTAGCTGGTAAAAGCATTTAGCAGTACAAACAGAAAACGGATGGGAAACTGTGCCAACGGGCTGCTGACTTAACACAGTGTAAAGGAAGGAAAGAGAGACAAGAGGACTTGGGAAATACTGTGGGCTGCACAAAGACAATCCAACAGTATCCTTCAGGGATGAACACAGCGATGAGTTTACACCCACTCTCAAAGTGTGCACATTTAAATCCTTTCCTCCAACACACACACACACACACACACACACACGTCAGATTTACAGAGGTATGCAGTTGGCTGGTATGTAAACTGCTGGAGACAGAGGGCACAAAGTGTTCTACTCTGTCTGGGTCTTATGACCTGCAGCAGTTTTGATGGTCTCATGATTTGATGGAGCAGGACAATGGCCAGGTTGGGGAAAAAACAAACAAACAAAAAAACTCATTTGCTTTGCCTACAACAGTGAAACGTGACTGAAGAACCTCCTTGAGTTGCTCAATAATTTTAACTCTGCAAGAACCACGAATATCCACTAAATTCAAAGAGATACAGTAAGTCTCGCTGCGATGATAAGGACAGTTGGGAAAACTTGTAGTTAAAATGTACAAACCTACTTAAATTGCACAGGGAGAGAGAAAGAGAGAACGCTTGTTTGTGGTAATTGGAGGCAGAAACAACAAAGGCCTTGTGAGAATTCAGACAGAAGATAGGAAGGCTGGTGCATTGACTGCAGCAGACATTTGTGTGTGAACGCTGTGCTTATAATGTACAGTAATACAGATTTATTGTGTGATTATGGGTTTTTGTGTCATCAGTGTGCTGAGGGAAAATTTGTGTGATACTACATTAACATACCATTTAGATTTAGAATACTGAACATTGTATTATCTACAATCAAACATCCTGTTATGTTACAAGATGATGCATTAGCACATTTCAGCTTGCAGACTCACAACCACACTTCCTTTTTATAAGAAAGTTTTCTCCGATCTAATTTACTTTTTATTAGGAGACAATTCTCCTTATAAAATACTTGCTTTACAATAATAAATAACTTTATAAAAACATAATAATTAGATGCAACTGTGTGGCCTGTTCAATGTGGTCAGTGTCTTTACCTTGTTAGGCTGACTAAAGAAGGGGTTGCCAGCACACCGTTGGTTGATGACATCTCTGATCAGGTGTTTTTGTCCATTGTAGGTGGTGAGGATGCTGATGCGGTCAGCAGGATAGCCCAACAGACGCATGTACATGTATAAGGCCACAGAATACTCCGCCTCCGCCAGGTTCTTCACAGGAAGAGAGAAAAATGGTATTGTTACAACATCATACACAAGTAATGAGAGAAGGAAAAAAACCCTGATGATTGGAAAACTGACCTCAAAAAACCTATTGTCTATCAATACATTAATTTTGTAGCGAATCAAAAGCACTAAGCTCTCTCTTCCTATCAGCACACCCAGGGCTGCCGGCTGTGTTTGACACCTTGCTGTTCTCGTTCTCTTATACTTTAACATCTTGCTCTAGCCCTTTCTCGCCTGTCAAGTGTTTAACTTTTCAGCCAGATAAAACCCCACTCATTCCCCCATGAGTAGCCATCTGATTTGGGCTGGAATTAATTGCCTCAGACAGAGCTCAACACCACCACTAGCCAGGCTGGGACAAAATGTCCCAATCCAGGATCCCCAACACATAAGCGAGGAGGGTGAATGGCATATTTCTACAGTGGCTTTGATATTCATTAAGTTTGGAATAGCTGATTTCGTTTTTTTAGAAGTGTTACAAAAAGCTGCATCATCAAAAGTTTCATTACTCAGTCTGATTGCAGAATGTTATCATAATATGCTACAAATATCATTTACATTTTAACTAGGAAAGGAAAGATTTTTGGAAGATTGTTGTTTCCAGATTCTATACAAAGTTGATTGTTACAGAAGCACTCAGACCTAAAAAAAATAAAACTTCAAAACACACACACAGAAAAAAATCCCACTGTCCTAAACAGGTAAACACCCATTTGCTATAATTGTTGAGCTTGTGACTCAATTACAGCAAAGCTTGTAAATGTAAAGGCCAACATCGCATGTATCCTTCAACCACTTTACAAATCCACCGCATTCTCCAGCATGTGCATCCTGGTTCCATGGCTACACTCTGCCATTCAAATGTGACAAAAAAAATAAAGGAAAGAAAATAGCCAACACTATGCATTATTCATCCTGTTTCAATTAAGCCTGGACTGCAGCCTCACATCTTTGATGATAATTTATGCAGCTTCATCAACAGTTCCTGATCCAGCTGCACTGAAGTCAACACATCAAAAACTCTGACAGCCTTTGTTGTTGTACTTCCCTTATTACCTGTCTCCAAACAGCACAAATTCATAACTTTAATGACCACACTGTGTTTTTACTGATACAAATGTTACATTTATGTTGGGCAGTGAATATTCGGAATGGGCTAGCGTCAGAGAGAATATTCAACATTATCTACAAAATGTTGAAAATCACATCACATTATCTACATGATTGATCTGCCCATTAGAGGCTGATTTTGAAAGGCATAAGTAGCACTCTGTGGCCCCGCTGTATTTATTCTGGCCGTTCCCCGTATTGTTATGTCCTGTCCCGACATAATGTTTCACAAGGAACTAGAGTACATCATATTAAGAAATTAAAAGACCCCACAGCCCTAATTTCAGTTGTTCTTATGAATACGTCAAAAATACTAATGAGGTAGCGTTACAGTTTGGCTGCAGAGAAAAAAAGATCACGAGAACCATAAACATATTCAAGAGGAAGACACACAGTAATATCTAAGTAGACATGTGGTTGCCATTTCCAGCTTTGCCTACCCCATATATATATTTAACATAAATGTGATGTAATGCCCTAACACCCCAGAGAACCTGTTAACCATAACAAAGTCAGACATAACCACATTGGACTTTGAGTCAATGGCCTTGGGCTACATGAGGACTGGAGAGGATAGAGGATTGAAACAAGGACAGAAACATGACAGAAGGTGAGAGGTGCTCACACATTGTGGTGTAGACACAAATACATAAGAGGTAGTGATATAAGGTATAAATCTAGACCCTCTGTAAGTGAAGTCCACAATGCTTTTTGCACTTATGTAATTTAAATGTAGCTTGTGAAGCAGAAAAGTCAAGACTTAAAAAGCCTAGTGGCTGAGAAAAGCCATTTTCTAACAACAGAAGATGTGGATTTAGATAAGCATCTTACCCTTTATGGGCCATTTGACAACTTGGAAAGTACTATCAACGGGCTGAGACTCAATATGGAAAGTGCTTTAACAAATGAGGCGAAGAAGCAGGGTCAGACCTTTAGACTGAGTATCTGAGAGCATGCACATGTGTTTGAGTGTATAAAGGGTGTACAGTTCCTGTGTAAGTGCAAATCGGGGATGTGGTAGTGTTTGTTCAGCTGTGACAGGCATTCAGCATGCCCTGGATACAATTTCTTCTTCAGTGTCCAATTTATCCCTTCTGGTTCCTAGGAAAATGCATGCATGTGTGTGCGCACGTCAGGAATAGTGAGTGATACTGGCAATTCCCTTGAGGAGCCTGAAAATGGCAATAAGTAAATGAAGTTGAGGTTCATGTGACCTGGTGCCTCGAGAAGCGCACATGGTCTGGATTTAGGAACAATAGGAAGCTTCAAGGACATGAGCATGCACGGTCTTGAATGCTGCAGTAACATTCATGAAGCGGTGACACATGTTCACTGGTCACTGGCAGTTGATGTATTTACTAATTAGTACCTATTGTAATCATCAGACAAACTGACTTTTAAAATCAATTGCCGTTCATTTTTTAGCAACTACATGCTCTGTTATTCCTGGCAATTGTTGTCTTTATTGTCAAATGTTTCTCATATCTCTATAAGAATTCTGGTAATTGCTTCCTTCCTTTATTAAAAATAACACTTTTTTCAGAAACACTAAATAATCCAGCTAACTGGTTCCACTTAACCTTTTCTCAAACATTTCAGTACTTAAAATGTTGCTATCATACTAGATAGTTTTGCTGTTATCTCTGACAGGGACATTTGTGCTTCTGTGCTGGTGTGGTGGCAAAGTCAACTTTTTTTTTTTTTTCACACTCTTATCAACCCCACCCACACACAGTCTTGAGTGTCTCAGCAATGTCATGATAAAACACAATCTGGGTCCTGGTGTGAAGGAAAACCACACAGGTCTGTGCTGGGCAGCCAGTGTTAGCTGCAGACTAAGCAGGCTTATGAATAGATCATATGGACTGGTAGCAAAACCATTAAAGTTTAAACATGAATGAGGTTCTTTACAACAACCAATTCAAAGGAAATGGAGGATAGGGAGGAATATGGTTGTCTGCTCCGGTGGAATTAAGTATGCTTGAGTGTGTATCTGTGTAAAGGAGTGTATAAATTGTGCTTGGAAGCTGCCACACATTGTGCAACATAAACTATTTCTGCTGTTCCACCATTGTGTATGTACCTGTGCTACAGATATACTAAATACTGGTGTTACATACTGGGTGTTCACAGTTTCTCATTTCTCCAAATGAAAGTAATGGATATGGGTCTGTGTGTGTTCATGCTGTAGGCAGCAAGGTATTTACAGCTGAAAACATGTCTTTCTTTAGTATTCAGTTCCAGTTTTGTTTTAACTGATTTTCTCAATACATTAACAGTTTTTATTTTCTGGAAATTACTAATTTCAGTTGGTTTTTTTAGTCGATTCTTATTGTCGTGTTGTGACAACTTGTTGTGAAAGACAGATTTAATGTGTAATATATAAGAGGTTGGCGCGCACACAGAGGGTCATTTTTATATGTACTACATCCTTTGTACAAATAACAGTTGTGCTATGCGTATATTTGTATACTGCGGTGTGTACTACTACTGACCTGGTAGAAGTAAGGGTTGGGCTCAGATTCTCCCACCCCATTGAAGTCCTCTACGTTAATAAGCTGGAAGTCAAAGGTCAGGCCAGGGTTGGGCACCTGGAACTCAGGCAGTTGCTGGACATGAGGCAGGTTCCCCAGGTGTTTGTAACGCCAGTTGTACAAGTTACACAGACTGTAAGACAGAAAGATACAAACACATACTGTTGTTATGTCCTTTCTGTGAGGAAACAGTACAAAACTCTACGACACTGCATCCTTTGTGAAATTTGCTTATGTTCTGCCAGGGTTACCCACCTTGCACGTGCACGGCCCTGTGCATCCAGATCTATGGTCGGCACTCCCAGGCGTACAAATCGGGTGAAGAGAGACTGCTCCATGTTGGAGTACTTCTGAAAGGCCATGTTCTTGATAACTGGAGGCAACTGGTGGTGGTCTCCAATCATGATCCAACGCTTCAGCCTGCTGTAGCCATCCTCGGGGTTCTGTAGCAAGGGTAGGACAGAAAAAAAATAAGTGACACCTGTTACAGCGAAACCTTAAATGAAATATAGGGGTCTGTACTAGAACCATATTATTATTATTAATATTTTTAACATCTTTTCTATTTTTCCACAATATAGATCGAACAATTAATTAGGTTTACGTTTGGTCTATAGAGGTAGCTGCATTAATTAAAATTTAACATGTTGAATCTAACCTATGTCCACATATGTAATGCCAGTGTAGTGCACTGAGATAACTCCATGTTGTCCAACATTATTCAATTTTTTTTTGTCTAATGACATGACAATATTATATAGTATACGTTAAATCAGATCTTCAGCAGAGAAGCACATTTAAGACCAAAAGGGCCGTGAACCATTTAGGGCCAGTACAGGTTTTTGCTCATGTCTATGTCATGCTGCCAGATTTTGTTAATTAGAATGAATGAATGAATGAATGAATGAAGCTTTATTATTGTGTCATGCGTATAATTGCGCCCAGCCCGCATGGACTTACAAGACACCAACAATAATATACAGGAAAAAGAGATATATACAAGATAGCCAGGTCCAGAGTACATCATATACAGTGCTAACTAAATAGAAACAAGGATTGGAAGCCGAATAACAATAAATAGTACATATGTATTCAGATATATGCATGTATACACATACACAGATGCATTCACATTTACTCAGATAACCACCCACATATACCCATAACCCTACACAGAACAAAATTAAATCTAGTTAAACAAACTAGCTTGCCTTGTTTTCCAAGTCTTTGAGACAAAGTTAGCAAACTTAAATACATCATAGTTAAATAAGCATACTCATTTTTGATCGTCAGCATAACAAAATATTTCAGAGATTTGCCGTGTAACAGCCAGAAACAAAGATTCTCCTAGATCATCATAATGTGTACAATACAAGAGGAAATGAGATTCACTTTCCACTTCACCAAGGTCACATAGCTCACACATCCTAAATACTCTTATTATACTCTGTTCTCTGCCATTCTGATTAGACGGTTCCACAATCGTATCATTTCACATTTTCTTTGTACAGCTCCTGGTACCCAGCCCATATCTCCCTGAATTGCTAGGATCAGAGCAAATTTATGAACCCCCAGAAAACATCATATGGCTCTATTCTGTATGGTATCTACCGTTATGGATTCTTTCAAGCCCCATACCCCTGCAGCATAGTTCAATATAGGAGAAACACATGCATCATAAAGTCAACTTGCGCGCTCTATGCAGGGCCAGGGGGGGCGGCTTGCGCCGGGAGTCTTGGACCCCGCTTACAACTGCTTGCAGTTCTAGTTGTACTTGTTTCTGTTCCTTTCTTTCTAAAATGCATGTGTTTTGTTTTTATTTATAGCTAATCACCACTTGAAACACCACAAATTAAACATTTTACATTTTCTGTAATTCAGACTCAGACAGTAAGATTATATCGTCGGCATATAATAGAATTCCCAATTTAGTACCATCAAGTAATACACCTAAATTAGCATCCTTAATTTGTAGAGCTAAGTCATTCTCAAATAAAGCAAAAAGGGTTGGAGAGAGTATATCACCTTGTTTTACTCCAAATGGTGAATCAAACCAATCAGTAAATAAACTGTTTATCTCAACACTAGCAACTGTACTACTATACATGGCTTGTATTGTTTTATAGAATTTTCCATCCATTCCTGCTTCAATTAGTTTAAAGGCAAGCAGCTCTCTATTAATCCAGTAAAAGGCTTTTTGAAAGTCAATAAAACATGAAAAGGTGGATTTACTTTCAGCAATTCTAGCTCTAATAATAGTTGATACAGAATATATATGATCGATGTATGCTTGTTTCCTTCTGAATCCATTCTGCTCATCAACAAGATACTGACCCATTTCTAAGTACTGTGTAATCCTATTATTCAGTATATTGGAATACAATTTATAGGCTGTACTAAGAAGACTAATACCCCCATAATTAAGGGGTATTCTGGGATCATTTTTTGATGACTTTGGAACTGGTTTAATAATGGATTTACGCCATGTTGACGGGATTATACCATGGTCAAAGCATGTTTTAAAAAGATAAAATAGGATCTCTAAGAGCTGTGGAGATTTTAAAGCTTAATTTGGGATCCCCTCTATACCAGATGCTTTCTTCAATTTTGCATAATCAATGGCCCTTATAACCTCTGCCATAGTAATTTCATGATTCAAAAATAATGGACAATAATCTGGTGTATCCATAATCATCTCAGACTTACATTTCTTAACAGGAATGTTATTTAAATGTGCATCATCAAAACCTGGCGGAATATAATTTCCTGAGAATAAATCTGAGAAATCTTTGCCCCATTTTCCAATCACTATTTCTTTGTTGTTTTCCATGTCACCATTCTCTAATATAATTTCTATTGGATTTTTTTTCCAATTTCTTAGGACCCAATTTGTTTATTTCTTTCCAAAATTGTTGTGGGTTGTTACTTTTTAAATCGATCCAACTGTAATGCTTGTCCTCTCCTAAATTGCTTTTATGGAACCGTATCCTCTTATCAAAAATAATCAGAGTTTGTGTATATTTATCTTTAAGTTGCCTTCTGGTCAATGGATTTTTACATTTTAAAAATTCCCTTTCTGCATGTGGTTTATTTGGAGCTTGGCCTCAGACAAATCTGATATACCAACCATTGCAAGTCAAGAGCGGATTTAATCACTGAAATCACTGATAAGGGTTGAATGGCTGGATAATGAAAGGGAAGAGGAGGATATATATATATATATCTCACGTCATCAAAAAAAGAAAACTACAAAGGAAATGCAGTCACAAAATTACTTTCAGAGTAAATAAATGTATTCAAATGTAACAGTACTAAACAGATTAGATCAATTGTTGAAAAATAAAACATACAAACATGTTGGTGTAAGTTTGTGGATGCGGGAGCACACACACATCTGCACTGTTTTTTGTTTTTTCCATTAACAAACAAATAGAGGTAGCGTTACATGGACTTTGGAAAATTAAGACCTGTTTAAAATTATTTAAGACCTAGAACACAATACGTCAGCGAATTTAAGACTTTTTACAGCCTTAAATTTCGAAATTGAAGACTTTTTTTCTACTTTTTAACACACCGCGGAAATCCTGTAGTTTGCACTACAGCTTGCACATCATAAGTTAAAGTCTTAAGAGTTAATAAGAACAGGGTTACCTGTAACAAGAGGGGAATGAAGGTCTCGATCTCCAGAATCTGAGCAGCTTCTTCCATCAGTATGTTGTCATACTAATAAAAGAGAATCAGCAGTTTAGACTTAGAAAATAAATTAAAGTAACTGCAGAGAACACAAGCGTAACCAGGTTGTTATCTTTATATCAACCCGAGAAGAGTCCACCTTAAATCCCAGCTCCACCAGGTCATGGCGTTTCAGCGCAGCATGTGTACAGGTCATGGCAATGATTTTGGCTTCCTTCACTAGCAGGTACTTGGAGCGGTCCAGTCCACTCCTCAGCAGCTCAAAGGCCCTAAACTCCTTCCAGGGAAAGCAAGAGAAAAGGTAAGGGTCAGGAGAAATGTTTTGAACATGAACAGATACGGGAAAAAACTACTTGTATAATCTAGAAAAAATTAAGTAATCTTGATTTAAAGAATTTGGCAATCTTGAATTAAATAAAAATGTAATCATCTATTTGTGAATAAAGTTGCGTTTTGCTTTCATGTTTTATATAGTGGGGTTTTAAGGGTAAACTTAAATAGCATACTGACAAGATGATGGATGATTACTTTCAAAGATGATGGATAAGATGATTATCTAGGGTGAAATAATCATACCTCTACAACCAATATATCTTTGTGTCTACCCCACATTACAAAAATGTAGGTGTAGGAGTACCCTAGCACACTAATAGTTCCAACTGCCTCTACTTTTGATTCCCTGGAGATGCCCATCAACTCCCAACAACAAGACAGTCACAAAAGATAAAACAGAGATCTGCAACCTTTTAATTAAACATCTTATAAACATTATCCCTCTGCTTTCTATTTTCATAAGGAAACGATCTCCTCTTCCCCTCCATGATGCAGTGAAACAGAGGCAGCCAGCCACTGCGGAGAATATACTAGGTGTAGTTTGCTGTTCAATAACAGCAGCTTGAAGATCACTCTAGCACAGATTTTCTACATGAGTTATTCTGGAATAGACAAGTTAGGGCCAGTTTTTACACAAAATATAAATGACTTCACTTCAGAGCGCCGATATCATGGCACTATAAAAACCATGCTGTGGTGGAGGTGTCTGGGGGGCAGAGGGGGAATATGGGTAAACAGGCGTGCTATTTTCAGGTTGCCACACTAGCTGGGTAGGGGTAGGAAGGGCGAGAGGACGGGAGAAGTAGACTGGGACAGCACTGGGGTATAAATATTTGATGCGTTACTATTTTAGCATTAATATTAAACCAATCAAAATATGCAATATTTATGAACTCTATTTTTAGCCCCCATGGCTCCAGAGCGGTTCAAGGGTGAAATCAAGATGGTAAGGATTCAGACACTGAGAAGAGAAAGAAGAGAGGAAAAAACAAAAAAAGAAGCAAACAGCAGTAAAAAAATATGGTGGGACTGCAAAGGAGGAAATGGGAGATGTCTTTACAGGAGGAACCCAGGATGCACACTGTATCTGTCTGTTTAGCAATAAATTCTTAGCATATTCCTATGACAGCTTATTCCAAACTGCTTTTCCATTTGAAAAGACAGACAGATAAGCAAATTCAGCAGAATGTTGCTTTATCTACCCTGCACCACAGACAGCAATACCTCTTAATGTGTGTACAGATTTCACTGCAGCATGGGTGAGGCTGAGGGAGGAGGGAGAGGTACTGTGATGCAGTGATACAGAGGCCAGCCAGATAAATCAAGGTCACCACACGTGTTGGGATATTACCTCCAGCCAATAACTTCTTTATTGCTTTCCGGACACCTTCTTGGTATTCCCATAAATCTGAAATGTTATTGTTATGCCTATAGAAATACTCGATGGGCTGAGTAAGAACGATAACACATTCAGTTGTGTGTTTGTAAGTGTGAAAGAGTGTGAAAAAGAGTGACAGAGTAAACAACAGGGTTTTTCCTGGCTCAGAATGGGCCTTTGGGGGGGGGTGACTTCACGCAACTGTAACCATGGCCAGTACGTGTACAGTAAAGGCATTGAGTTACCTTATGACTGAAATCTATGCATTTTCTTGTAATTTCTGACCATTTTATAAACAAAATAGGAGTAAAGGTATAAAAGTAAAGTATAAGGTTAGTATAATATATTTACAGGTTACACTTGATTTGGATAATTTGTCTACAGATAGTTTATTAGTTGACATTCAGCTGTTTCACAAATAAAACCTTTCTCTGATATTAGCCTACACCACTGTGGTTAAGGTTTGATTAGTGCTAATGTTTGTGTATTCATTATAATTTCAGATAATAGTTTAGGTTACTATAGCTTACCATTAGTTTCCTAATATTAATTCCAGTTGGACAAAACAGCAGTTTCATTTTTGTGGGTTGTTTTCAGTCATTCAATTATTGTGCAAGTCAAATGCTCTACTTGGTGGCCAGTCTCTCAGTTGTTTATGCAAAGTAGCCTACTAACTCATCAATAATAATAAATGTGCATACAGAACAACAAGCTCAGCATTTCTAAGTTTGCTGTAGTGCCTCAACCGCTCAGGTGAGCGTCACGTAGTGCCCAGAAAACTCGATCTGGAGAGGCCAAAGAAGACTACCGGTGCAGGGATGCCAAAGAGTAAAAAAGCTTTTTTCTTCAATTCTGATCATTTTGTCGCTGGTGATTTTCCTTTGGCACTCCCTAAAACCTCTTTGGGTGGCACCAGAAAATTCTCTACACAGGAAAAACCCTGAACAAGATAAGCAGTAGTAGCCTTCATCACTTTGTTACGCAGCTTATCTTTTCAAAAGGATCAGCAATAATATCTACAAATAAACAGTACTGTTAACTATCAACTGAAGACAGGAGATGACTAACTCGGAGAGATTCAAAAGTGTCAGAAGAGCTGCTTATAAGCACACACATCAACAAAGACACAGACAGTTTCTGACCAATCACTGTTAATCTACAACAACCTGTCACTGCGGTAGACAGGGGAAATTGTGTGCAAGGGAAATTGTGCAATACACAGCTGGCAAATAGTCTGTATGTATCATCGAATGCAGCTGACTTGGCCTATGTGTTAGTGTTTGAAAATAAGAGGAGGGCTGTATGTTTACCTCAGACCAGTTGGAGATACTGTGTGTGAATTGAACTGTAATGACACATGCTATAAAGAAAACTCAAGTAACTTCTTTACATTACTGGGTGTTGCTCAGCAGTAAGGAACTAGTGTGTGTGTGTGTGTGTGTGTGTGTGTGTGTGTGAGAGAAAGAGACATTCTTACCTCCAGCTGGGTAAATATTTTCTTGATGTGGCGGTAGCAGCCCTCTGCGATGTCCATGTCCTCTTCATATGACCGGCCCTTGAACACAGGCTGCGGGGCATTGGAGAAGTACTTGTGGAAGGGAAAGTGTGCTGCCACATCTTGCACCTCCACTTTCTTGCCCTGTTTAGGCCTGACTTTACTCATGTACTCTTCCCAGCGAGATATCACCTGTAGTGAGGGAGAGAGGCTTGATTAAGCCACTATATAAAGAAAATATTTCTGTATGGACAGTGCACGAGCCTGGGCTTAGTTGATGCCCGTCTAAGGTGTACCAAAATGCTGTATGAGCACACAGTGGGTGTTCTTCATGGCTCTACCCAGCCTAAATGGTGTAATTTCTCTATAATTATTTGACCAAAGCAACAAACCCATTACACACAAATGAACAAATGAGAACAGATAGCCTCATTCGTATACTGGTGCCCCCACAGGACACCTAATAAACCAGCTTCAACCAAACAGCAGGATAGCCTAGTTCTATAAATACTATACCCCTGTGAAAAACAACTTTAAGGATAACATTAATGAGTCTGCTAGAGGACCTAGCTTAATTGCGTGATAAGTATCTGTCTGTATGGACTATTAAGACCACCATCAAAACCTCGAGTATGTCTGCATATCCATTTTTTTTTATCATTGCTCATTGACAGAGTTCTCATGCTAATGGTCACAGAATCACCACGCTTTGCAACAACTTCTTGACATTTACATCTTCAAATGTCACAGAACTACACAGTTGGCAAGTTTTCAGAGCTAAAATAAACCCAAGAACTCAGCTAAAATGAAGTGTGGGCTGAGAATCCTATCTCCATGCAATGTCAAATTAATATGGAGCCACAGTTGTACGACGTGTGTGTTAGAGAGACAACTGACAAAGCTCTGGCAAGGTGCAAACAAATGGCAGCATGTGAATCAGACATGAACTCTAACACTAGAGCTCGCGTAACAGCCATGATATACAAGTGTGCTTTAGCCGTGACTCTCCAGACAACTATCTGCAACAGGATGTCGTTGGAGCTTTGGCCACCACTAAAAACTATGTTACTGGCATCTTACTGTTGTCAATGATACTTAAGTGTAATTTATACTTCGACGGCGTAGCCTCTGCGTAGCCCCGTCGCCTACGCCTGACGTGCACCTCCTCAAAAATGTAACTACATGTCGAGGCGATGTGGACCGTAAGCACTGTGATTGGTCGGCTAGGTAGCCTCACAATTCCTCCGAGCCAATAGGAAGTGCCCCATGCTTAGAAGTAACTTTTACCAGCGGCCAAAACGGCGGCTGTAACACGGTGGATCAATATATTTGACCGTCACAAATGTGAATCAGAATGTGATCCATTCAGTCGATAACCTTTGAAAAGCTGCACGTATATAATTTCCCCCCCCCATTCATGTTGGCGGAGGGCTAAACCGGAAGTTAGCCTGCTCGGCCAGCAAAACACAGTGGACGCTGTAGCGCTACCGCCAATGTTTGGATGTGTTTGGGGGTGTAATTGCAGAATAACAGAGACACCGACGCACAAGTGGCGGAGGAGTATAAATCAAGCTTTAAGTGACAGTTGCATATTAACTTGAACCCCCAGTAACACTTAAGATGGCAGCTACACTTGTTACTGTTTTATGTAACAAATGTCTATAATGTCTATTTTAGAACCTGTCTAATGAAGCATGGGAGTGCAAGTAATTGTCTGCAGTGGCATTTCTCCTGTAGCCCGAGAGGACAGTGATAATTAGGTGACAGGAATAAACAGCAAGGGTTGATACTGTTTCTAGGTATTTGCAGTCTAGGCAAAACGAGCAGCGAGTCTGGGGAAGGGGAAATTTAATACTTTATGAATTTGACTGGCATGAATATGTCTGACGAACATGAAAGACAATTGAGAAATCCATTCCAATTAAATCTGCAAAATATCGCCTGGATACCCGTTAATTTTTTCTCTGAAAATCAATATCTTAACACAAATTTCAAGGCTGTTTGGAGGCTTAATAGTATGACTGAGAGAAGTGGCTGCCATTGCAGAAACATATACACACCTATTTATAGTCTTACCTGGTAGAGGTAGAAGTGTCCAGCAGTCTCACAGGTGTAAGAAACATCTCCTGGGACATCCAAACTCTCCTGTAACCTCCCCACCTCTCTGAGGAGCTCCAGTCTTCTGGCTAGGACATAGTTTACCCTGCCATATCTGGAGACAGAAAGCACAGAATAGTTAGCCAACAATCTAAACAGTTAAGCTTTTTGTAAAGGGATAAACAGAATGTTAAAATCATCTCAAGCAGCTTTCTAGTATCACAAGTTAAGAATGATATGTATGCATATTGAATGTTTACATATGTAATGTATTATCTAATTTCTTTTATCTACATGCTGATGTGGCAACCTAGACAGAGACTTCAGACATAACAAAAAAGTGTCAAATAATCTTTCCTCTTATTGCGGATTCAGCCTATGATATGTATCCCAGGTATACAAAATGTCCATTAATGGATTGATAACATTCTTGATCTGATGGTTGTTCTTCTGATTGTGTGGAATTTTGGTTGTAATTACTGCTGTTGTGTTTGTGCCCTTCGCTAAGAGCAAGCAGGTGAAACAAAGCCCGGTCATCTGAGGACATACATTGTATACCAGATTAAGATATGTAAAATATACTGTAAATATGATCCAATGGAGTACAGAGGTTTAAAGAGGGCAATGGTCGTCCTTGACTGTACACAAGGTCGGTTAAAGTTCTATCATGCATCCTATGGTGCAGCTAAACAATACTGTTTAAAAGCAATTATCAGGTGGCAATGAGACACAGGATGCACAGTAAGACAGAGGTGGGAGGGGTCACAGGGTAAAACTAGAGGTGAACTATTTTCAGATCCTCAGTCAGCAGATGACTCAAAGACAATCACAGTGCTCTTCCTGTTTGGCCTTAATAAAATTAAAGAAAAATGGGGAGTGACCTTGCTTCACATGATGATAGACTTGTAAAGCACTTACCTACTGAGACAGAAAACCCACAATATACAGGTGTGGAAAACAGCATATATCAAGGATTGTATTTTTTATTTTTTTGTAAAATCCAATACATATAAAACTTAAAAGCTGAATGAGGATGCTGCATTTAATTTCCACTATGAGCCAAAGTGGCCTCATGAAATTTTCTTGACAAAGATTTTTTTTTTAACCTAGAAGCTAGGGTACAAATATATACTGTCCACAACTAAACATATTTTACAATATCTCCCCTATACTGCAAACCAACATGCACTTTCAAAATCCTCATTAAAAACAGCACATAATTCATCATGAAATGCAGGGAGGCATTGTTAATTGGTGGTGCCATAGCTTTCCCTTTGTTAGACATTTGGAGGACCACAGCCTTCCATTTTGTCATCTTGTATACAGCGTTAATTAAAACTCTCTGGCTCTCTCCTCTCGCTGGTGTCAGTGGGGTGGAAGTGGGAGTGTGGAGCCTGCATGTTGTTATGAGGCAGGCGAGAACATATTAAATGCTGCTAGCTTAAGCTCTTTCTGTTATGGCTGTGATGCTGCATAATTTAAGAATGTAACAGACTGCTTCCGTGTGCAGACCTCAGTTCACATGCCACAGTCATATATTCATACTGAGCAGTAGTCATACAGAGTATAGCAAATGAGCGACATGCAACACCCCTCCCATCCTCCTCTGGAAGTGTTGCTAGGAGCTATAGGGTGCAATTTGCTCAGTGCCACAGATTGATATGGTGGTAATTAACAATGTAGGCTACAAGGAAACTTTAAATAGTAACAGCATAAAAACTTAATTAATATTCAATAAGGCTGAGCTATTTATATTCAGAAGCAGGCTAAAAAGCTTTTCTAGAATAAAAAATGGCTCTGGCTGATTCATCTAATAATGGTGTTAAATATAGCAGCAAGTAGAGCAGTAAATGTTTTGGGTATCTTCAGATAATCGGTTTCTCACGTCTGTCATGAGTGCTTAAAGTGTGCTGCCCTCCAACTTCTCTTTTCCCCTCTTACTATGTCTCAGTAGTAAAGACTGAGTCACAATGCTTCAAGGCACTACACACACACACACACACACACACACACACAGTGAGAGAGCTGGGAACTACTAGGGCTACATTAACAGGACTGTAGTGGTTCTTGTCTGAGGCCAATTGTTCTGTGCTCATTCAACACAGTGCGGCTTTTGTTCATATAGCACTGGTGGCAGAGTCCATTAGCAGACAATACAAAAGTGTAGACAAAGAAAGTTAATAAACAACTAGTGTGAAAACTATATGTTGTACTATATTAAATCAGTTAAGTAATGTCGCCCACCACAGAATTAAGAGGGCTCCTTCCTGATTTAATAAACATTCTCATGGTCTTAAAAACCTTAAATTAAATGTATTTATTCATGTAATTAATCATTTATTCATTTAATTATTCAGTCATATGTTATAAATGAATTATTCATTAAAATGACAAATGCATCCCTGAAATTGGAACATCACTATAGCTACTTCCAAACTTATATCAAAAGGTTCCAAACATTTTGTTTAACATTCAAATTATTTGAACATGATTAACTTTACTACAGTTTGTTACCATAAACAAATTAATACATAAAAAATTGTTTAATGCAGGTATTTTTTTTAAATCAGCTATAACTGTACCTATAGTACAATATTTATGACCAAGACATAATAGCTTCTTAAAAGCCAGCCCTGGAAACATTTTCTAAAATCACAAAGTTTTCAGGTATTCCATCCCTGGTCTAGCCATCTCTCTCTACACAGCTTGTTGCCATCGTCCTCTTCTTGGAAATTATTCCTAAAGTAGCTACTACAAATGGGTAAAAGGTCAGTTCTTGTTGTCCAGAGCAGTGATGAGAGGGTTAATCAGACGGGAATTGCCAGGGCTGCAGGGAGAGATCCCTTTCACTGGTGGAAAGGCCTGAGAGGCCAACAATGCCTAATGAAGATAAACCAGGTCCATGGCCTGGTTTATGGGAGTATCAAGTAGCACTGTCACTCTGTTGGCTCACACTAATTATGTATGTGGGCAGCTGGACTGCTTTTGTGTATATATGTGTGTTGTCTGCTTTGATCAAACTGTAAGGGTTGCCTCTGCAGCGTATATACGCTATAAGTCTGTCACCATATGTTGAATGCACTTCCACACATGCATGCATGAATTCAAGTAGTCTCAACTGCGCATTTCTGTTTGTTTAGGTGTTGTGTGTGTTCTCTCCTCCTGTTTCCCACTGTCCTCACCTGCTGAAGTCCTTCTCAGTCTCCAACTCCTCTTCTCCGTGGCCCAGACGCAGGAGGTGGCGCTCATCAATGTCTAGAGCCATGATCTTTTCAAACAGCTGGTTCAGAGCCTGGTGTGGAATAAACCGTTGCAACAAGAAGACATGGTCAGATGTGGAAATGGCTTTCTTTGATGTGTATATATTTTGTCATCTATCAACAGTACTTGTGCATATAAAACGGTTTTAACTTCCGGTCTCTTAATAATATCTATAATGTGCAATATGTTTGAGATATTTAGCATGCTATGAAGAAAGTGTCTATGTCTGTATAAGAATTAAAAATGAAAGTGGAAAATATTGCATGATAGTACGATATTCATATTATATCCAGCTACGCTTCTTGGGGCCAATGTTCCTTTTGGCTAGTTTCCACTGGTGTAAAACAACAGCAGATTACTTTATGATTAAATACTGAGGGTGGAAGACCGGGGCACAAGGGAGCTGAGATTTAAATTTTTTCTCCATGGTTTGAATAACACTATCGCCTCATTAATGGGCAGTTCTGTGCTCTATATTCTCCAGACAACTTTACTGTTTGTTGAGCAGGGTGTTGGGGAATCAGAGATGTGTATCGAGCTGGTTTGTGTGTGTGGTGGGTTAACCTGGTTTGAGTGTGTGACTATGAGGGTCCTCTGCTCAGGAAAGTTGTGATAGAGGTTTGAGATGATCTGAACAGCAACATCTGTCTTTCCGGTACCTGGTGGTCCAACAACCTAGAGACACAACAGGAAAGCAAGAAGAGGGTGGCAGGAAAGAAATATAGTTTATTTTTTTACAAGAAAGAATCAGAATCAGAAGTTAGGTCACAGTGCAATGGCACTTGTCTTGGAGACATCCTAGTGGTTGTGACATCTAGGCCATGGGCATGTCAGAACAGGCTAAGGTGGTGCTCCATAGTTAGCTGTGCTCAGAAAGACCCAAAACAACAAGCCTGTGGTGTTGGCTGGCATGCCAAGAAGATGGGAAAAGACACAGAGAGCTACTGAAAATGGAGAAAAGCTACTGGAGGCAAACACATCTTTCAAGCCTCCCTTTTGTACTTGCTAATGCTAGTAGCACTTGTACATAGAAGTAACAATGATAATAAGCCTCACATTTACTTAACTGGGGGGAATAGCACATCTAATTTACTAAATAAATATTCATCAAACAGGCTGGTCTCATATCTCAGGTGAGAAATTTCTGCTAAAACTGTAAGCAAAATTAGATATTCCTGCATATATCAGTACATAATCAGCTCCTTGGTTTTGTACATGAAAGCCAGGCCAGGCAGACCGGGAGGCAGTGTGTGTGTGTTTGTTATGGCTGCTAACAACTGTGACATATGCCAAGATGGAAGGTTGGAGGGGGTGAGGAGAGGAGCAGAGAAAGGCACGCATGCAGAGTTGTTTTACGACTCTGCCGATAGCCTTCTTGCCATATTTACCTCAGCTAGCAGCATAATAAATAACTCACACCCCACTGTCAGCTTCCCATCACCACATCAGAATAGCGCCTTTGTCAAAACAGTGTGAAAACAGTGGCAGGCTGGAATGGCATAGTTGTGGATGTGCGTATAAGACTGGGTGGTTCCATACTTGTTATCCTATGTTATTTAATGTGTGATTGACGATGTCAATGGCAATGCCAAAATTACAGAGAGGGTTTCAGGGAAATTTGTCATCGCTCTACATGTGTGAGACACCAAACAGCAGCATATTTACTGGTGAAGAAATTCCCTTGGCATACCTCACTAAGATTAATGGTTGCAAATCTTTGGCTTTGTAACAGCAAGCTGGAACAGTATGCACCTGCAGTATCAGCACTCTGGACACTCACACTGGACTGACTAGACTCTCTGCCCAGACAGTATCACACTCAAGGACATGCATGATGACTTTATAGGAATGGGTTTTAGAATAAAGTTAGACCAATATGGTTTTCGTTAATGTTCGATGCCGATATTTAGAGGAAAGTGAAATGATTCACTCGACCAAAATAGTCACGTAACACAGAGTTGGAAGACAATAAAATAGGTTGAAGGTGTAATGTTTACAAAACATAGTCCAACAGCTTGCATTAAGTTTAAATGCAATGTTTTTTAGCATTTTGCAGGGAAACAGAGAGATGTTACAAGACATGGAGGAAATTTTACATTACGGAGCGACAGTGAACACACCACTGCAGATGTCATAAGCCGTCTGCATGGCTGCATATCCACAGGGAGCATTTAGATGTTGTTAATTTGGTAATCAGTGCTTGCTTATTGTGCTTCTACTATTATTAAGTAGGCTACAGAGTTAAATGGTTTCTTTTTTTTGTCTGTTTTAACTGTGTTTATAGTTGTTTTATGACTGGGAGGGTGTTTTATTTAGAAAATTGACAAGATTCTCTATGGCGTTCTGTGTCTGACTTCCTGCCCGGTTCGATGTGCTCTGTGTTGCTTGACGTGGCTTCCGTCAAAAATAGACTAGCTACCTATTCTCTGCGGAGCGTCTGGGAGTAGCCGTAGTGCAACGCAGCCAGAGTCAGCAGACTTTGCGGGTTAATGAGAGCTCAACAGTCCGGGGAGCAGGTGTGTCGCGGTTCCATCTCTCAGAAACGGTTTTGGTCTTGGTTTCAGCACCGTTACAGCCCTAATGGTTATCTTAGCCAGTAACGTGGTGTTTAAGGTGCAACTGGGTGATGCTGTAGATTACAAAACGTGACTGGTATTTAAGGGAGAGTGTGTCAGAAGTGAGGTCCTTCAACTGCATTATTTAATTCTAGCCAGTAATGGTTTTAGATTAAATTTGCTGTTATTTAGGATGACAGATTGGCCTCGGCCTATCACTAGTTTGAGGTAATTTTATGTACTGCAATTAACTTAATCTTCCAAGGGGAAATAGATAGGTACATGTATTTGTTGGTGTCTGTTCAAATGCTGCCATTTCCTATGTCAAACACATCATTTATATCTTATAGATATTCACTATGTGAGAAATATAATGAAACACAAAACACAAAGTCCTCACCATAGTGAGTCCTGGCTGCATCCCGGCTCGAATGGCTTCAATCTGAGTAGGGGTGAACTGAATTGTGTTCCTGTAAGACAAAATGTACATTGCTGATATTAATTAATCTAGTAATGGGTTGAAGATACCAAACAGCCTTGACAGCATAAACCTATTTTGTGTTCAAATGCTTTCATTAGTTCTTTTTTTTAAAATAGATGCTAAATGCTGCAAGTTTTGTTGTGATGTTCTTTGAGACCATCTTTAAAGATTGTAAGTCAGGGCATCCCCATGGACATGATGTTGCTATCAAGATTTAAATATCAAAGGGCAAACTAGAAAAGCTAAAACACCACCAGATGAATCTTACATTTTCATGAAGGGCAATTATTTTGTGGCGATATAATTAGTACAGCAATATGAAAACCTTTTCTGTACACCTTTAACTGCATAAAAAATGTCCATCTAGTGTAGGCATAACAACCACCAAAATAGCACAAGTCAGAGGAGATTTGTGCAATATTCTCTGCTGCCATTTATTCACTAGTCCTTTTTGGTTCACCATAATTCTTAATAATATAAATATTGTACATACCCACACACCTTTATATTTGTCTTTATATTTTAAATTTATATACTCTTTATCTATCTACCTTTGACAAGTGTGCAATTGTGACAAGAGAATTTCCCCTCTGCGATCAATAAAGTATTTCTGATTCTGATACCATGGAACACAAAATAGTCAGGCCCAGAGTAAGATACCTATAACAAGCATTTGACTGGTGCCTCTGTACTGTTTTATAGTAAAAAAAAAGTTCAGGATTTAAGATTTTCTACAACATAATGTGTTACTGTACCATATATGCTGTGGGTAGAGCGCTAGTTAAGGTGCAACTACATTTAAAAGAGGCAAGTAGGAGAAGTCAGGGTTTAACTAAACGCCAAACAACTATTTGACACCTAATCTCATTATGTTGTGAACAGAAAAAGCTGATTCTGGGCCTCTCACCGTTTGGGCTGGTTGTAGGGATATGGGCCACGGTTGAGTGTAACATAGGGCTCAACGGTCAATGTCATGTCTTCCTCTTTGTCTTCCACTTCTTCATCAGCCTTTCTCTTCTTTCCTTTGTCAGTTTTATTTGAGATGGGAAACGTGATTCTGGTAAGGCAAAAGGATTAAGGAAAAGAGGGATTATTATAGCTATATTATATTATGTGCCATCAACTGTCATAACTTCACATAATTAAATAAATAATAAAATAGACAGAGTATAGTAAAACTTGCAGGGCAAGACAGGTTAAAAACTAAAAAACAACAACAACTAAAGTTTATACATTTACTTGGACCAAGGTAAATCAATCCCAACCTGTCTCTTTATGATTTGATTATTGGATCTTTGACTTTTACCTGAAAGGGGAGACCTGAAGCTCAGGGTTCTCTTCTGTGACTTTTATGGTGTAGCCAGGGAAACACGAACGTAAATGGTCCAGGGACAGAAAGGTGTCATTGAAGTCCAATGTGGAGATCTGGTTAGGCATTTTCGAGTAGTGTGCACTGCCTGGATCGCCATAGCCTAGGATAATGTCGTGAAGCCAGTCTGGCACAACACACTCGGTGTTCATCAGGTTTCTGATGGTCTCTAGCACTGCCTAAAACAGACAGAGGGATATGTGATAGTGTGACACACCAGTACATAGCCAAGTTTAAAAAGAATAATTTAAAGGAGTATAATCTAACTGAATGAGGCACGTCAGACAACCATCCCACAAGAGGGGGTTTAGCTGGATACAAATAGCTTTGTGGTGGGCTGATGGGACAGCAGGTAATTTGAATGTCTGTCCATTATATTTTAACGAGCAGCAAACTGTGTAATACCCTGAGCATCAAACATTGGGTAGAGAAACATGTTTACTTTTATCTGTGTCACACATCAAAGATGGAAAAGAAAGTTTCTTGAATACCCATTAGTTCCTGTGCTTTTCAAATCCCCCCCCTGCCAAAAAAAGACACACTTTAAAATCATCTGTCATTGCTCAGGGTGTGAAAGACGGAAATGCGTGCACGGAATTAGAAATAGCAGATTTGACAAAGCTGTAATGAGATGCTCTCAAATAAAAAAAAAAGAAGCAAAATGGTTTTGTGAATAATTAACATTTTTAAAAAAGGTGAACAAAATGGAGCAAAACAACATAAGACAGATGGGTTTCACACAAGCCACTATGACCTGCTGAAAAACTTAAAATATCGGTAAAAATATCAACATAGATTTAACTTTCTTAATCTTCTTTAACAGCAGCTCATGTATGTTATACTGACAATTTTGCATTCTGTAGGAAAGCGTAACCTACAAATACTTATGCAATGTCAGGTTGCTGCCACAAGGGGATTATTAGAGGTGAGAGAGAGGTGGAGGTACATATCACACAAATATCCAGTTAGAAGTGTCCCTCAATGGGATCACAGGGAGGGCCTTGAGTGGGTGGTAATCTCTGAGCTGCCCTGGCCCCAACCTTTCAGCTGCAATACCCAGACAGCGTAATATGTGCAATGCATCACTCTGGGACCACAACTCAAGGTCTAAAGATAAAACACTCAAATACATTGTACAGTGAGGGCTGATATGTGCGCTTCTACGTGTAGTGCAAACCTTGAAATTATTCTCCTTGGGTTTGCGTCTCATGATAATGTTGAAAGTCTCATATGGGTCTTCAGTGCCACTCTGAATACTGCTGGTCATGTCCTGTTGATACTGGTTCGGGTCCAGCCACACACGGAATGTTCTGGCATCTCCTCGGAGCTTAGGCTTTGGGTCAGGTCCTAGACCAGAGTTGTGAGGAGAATACTTGTTAGAGCAACAGAGAAATGATAACCTTTAGGGCTAAATATGAAAGTAATTCATCAAATTTGTATTTTTCAAATCACTGTTACAAATTGTCAAAACAGTCAAACACAAAACTATGTAAATCTTAGAGCAAAGCTTTAGAAGGACAACAGTCAATATTCAAATTTAATCTAAACCATGCTTTTAATAATCATTTACATTGGAATCCTTACATTTAAAAAATTAAATCCTTTCAAAAGAGCATACTCTGACATGCCTTGCTACAGTACTGACTCCTTAGGAACACAAATTGCACGTAGATGCTTGACTGACAGGCCACAGGCTTTAGGCTTCCTCCCACAGGGAGCCTGAGTGGTGCAGCAAGTGCAGCTTTCACAGATGTCTAAATAGATTCTTGTATGGAGCTGCAGGGCACAGAGCAGGAGAGTGAAACTCAATACTATTGGCCTCTGGTGTGTGTATGTGCCCATCCATGTGTACGTCTGTCTGTGTGCAGCTATGTGGGGATCTTCACATCCCCCTTACTAAAATTAGTGTGCCGACAGCTTAGGAGTGGAAGCTACACCCTCAACACCATGGGATAACAATGTAGACAGCTGGGCCAGAGAGTGTCAGTAGTTAAAACAACTATGCGCCATTGTAGTAAGTTGTCAGTTATTAAAAGGTGGAATTAAACCAATATATCATTTAAACGGAGATTCATGCATTTGTTCATTTAAGTCACATAGAATTTGTCCTTTTGTAATAAATTTCACCCAAATATTTTGTCTTTGAGGAATATAGTTTTTATAAGACAGTAATGAGTCAGTTGTTAGTGTGCCATAATGCACCTCTAAGCTTGTTATCTCCGCACACCTTCACCAAGTGCCGTGTGATTTAAGTGAGATCACCCCAACACCCAGTTACCCAGAGTACCACTTAGCCCCGTTGGGGATCTGAAAGTTTAACAAAGCTGACATTGGCAGGGCATGTTCCCTGGCAGCATGTCTACTTAGAAAGGCCTGCCCTCTGCATATTTAATCCAAACAGATGAGAGCGGATGGGGAAAGGTTGCTTCAGCGTATGGACACATGTTCCCACAGGGGAAACACTTAGAATAGCAGAGCTGCAGGGTAATGTTGGTGAACCAACCCCCCTCAGAGGGGCTGCTTTGGGCTGTGGGGAGAAATACGGCACAGTAAACAAAAGGAGATCATGTTACTGTATAAACATATTTTACTTTCCAGGAAAGGCCAGAAACTTGAATCCTGTGTGGACGCACACACACAAAACAGACTCCCTGAGTCTTATATTTGATGACAGCAAATTTTAAGGCTTTTATAAGCAAAATACAGTAGCTTACAGGAAAAAGCTCACAATGTGCTCATATATGTTTCCAAATTTATAACACATTATTGCTGGCAATACATTGTTACAGAGACTGGGCTGAGTGTTTCCTATATGACACCTTACTGTATTCTGCAGGACAAGCACATTTGGTCAGATATAGACAATACAATTTAGGCAGGGGGCAGGGCCCAAAGTCCTCAGGTGTTGTTGTCGACCTCAGGTTAATGGAATGTTAATGTAAACAGGTCAGGTCTCACTGTGACTGTCACCACGGCAACACCAGTTTGACCCTCTCCCGAGGACCTGTCAGTGGGGATGATTATGTATAGGAGGTCTGATGGGTGGATGGATGTCTTGTGTCACTGGTGTGTGTGTGTGTGTGTCTGTCTGTCTGTGTGTGTGTGTGTTTGTTTGCAGGCAGGGGCATATATGTGCATACCTTCTTCAATGACACGTCCCTTGTCATCCAGCATACCCTGCACCTCGCAGCCTCTCACGTACACCAGGCCAGTCTGCTCCACAAAGGGCTGCCGACGGTCGAAGCGCGTGCCGTAGGGCAGGTTGGGTCGCACCGTGATCAGAAAGCAAACGTCATGCTTCCGCAGCCCTATAGGGAAAGAGGATGGAGAGATGGGTTAGAGAGAGAGAGAAAAAGAATGAAAGAAAGGGTTTTAGAGACAAAGAGACAGAGAGAGAAAAAGTACACAGAGAAAGAGAGGTTATGGAGAGGTGAGAGAGTAGTGGAATAGTAGTGTGAAGGAGTTTGGAAAAAAAGAAACCGCTCTGTCAGCATTTGCCTGATCTTTAAAACATGAAGCTCTAATTATGGGGAAAGGCTAGTGGATGGAAGGAAGTAATACTTCATATCGCCGCCGAATTCCAAGAAAGAAAGTAAAACCATAAAAGCGGGTATAAAGAAAGTAAAGACATCAATTTGGGATGTTTATGGCTTACCTTTTTTTTTTTTTTTTAATTCAGTGATAATGCCATTACTTCTATAATACCCACGAAAGAATGCATTCATTCTCCATATTAATTAGTGCAATACACCACTGGCATACATCAGTGTGTCAACATATCCCATATCAAGTGTGAAGGCTTCATTGTGCTTTCTATGTTCCCAGGTAATCAGTGTCTTTCAAGACTGACAAGCACCTGTTAACATTATCTACAGTGCCCTTATCAGAGAAGGAAACAAAAACGATCAGAAAATAAAAAAAAAGAGGCTCAGTGGTAGAGACTACACAGCAATAGCACGTCTTCACAGAAACATGAGGCAGGTAAGGGTCATGAGTCAAGGCCCAGTGGGATTGGAACAGAATGGTAAGGTAAGACTTTATGGAGGTTATAAACAGCTTACTAGGAGTGACAAAAGAGGGAAACAAAAAATGTAGCAAGGCAAAATGAAAGGGGAGAGTAATGATGTATAAGGTACAAGGCAGTTTATTTATCAATAATAATAATAATAATATATTAGTAGTAATAATAACAACAACAACAACAGTCAAAAGGTGTATAAGGATGCGTTTGTGTTAATTTTCCATTCACATTATCCTTTGTGAATTAAAATAAAAACATACATAATGCTAGTATAGTATAGCTAGATTTGAACAAGCAATATAAATGATACTGATATTAAAAGTGCTGAAAAGATATTAAAAAAAAATACTGACCAAAACAGATCTACCTATGATAGACAGGCGCACACATATTACCTTCCCACTCATGCTTGATATGATCTTGTACATTGAGGTTAACAGTGACATCAGCTCGCACACGGGCAGGCCAGCTCTCTCCAATGTTGGGCTTGGCAACCTCTACTATGGAAAAAGAAGTGATCGTCTGTGCCATCCTGGCCCAGCCCCCAAACACCACTCCGCCATACTCTGATTGCCTGTGCGGAGGGACAGACAAAGCAAGAAGTTAGACAAGCGCTGTGGGCTGATTTAAATCAGTTGGATTTAGGACAGCACATGGCACTACTGCTTACTTATTTACTTTCACAGGAACAACAAGCAAGTTGCTACATCAACTGACATAATGGGAGCACTTATTATGTTAAGCAATGGGTTTCCAAATGTGGTGTACCAAATGACAGTCTTTTAATAAAATAGTATCAATGTACTATGCCACCATGTGAGATGCAGACAGAGGATTAGAATCTTCATTCATTGGAGTAATAAGACAAAGTGTGCTGTGGCTGAGATAATGGTAGAAATTTGTTCTACTTAGCTTCTCTGCACTGGCTCTCTGTCAGATCTAGAGTAGAAATTAAAATCCCTCTGCTCACCTACAGTGAGCCCTTAATGGTCAGGCAACATCTTATCTTAAAGAACTCATACTACCTTATTACACCACTAGACCACTGCGCTCCCAGAATGCAGGGTTACTAGTGGTTCCTAGAGTCTCAAAGTAGAATGGGAGCCAGAGCCATCAGCTATCAAGCTCGTCTCCTGTGGAATCAGGTCGCAGGCGGAAGCAATCTCCACATTTAAGAGAAGGCTTAAGACTTTCCTCTTTAATAAAGCTTATAGTTAGGGCTGGCTTAGGTTAGTCCTGAATCTTCCCTTTGTTACGCTGCAGGGAGACTTCCCCTGATACACTTTTCTCCTGCTCTCCATCTGTATGCATTCTTATCCCATTAATGCATGTTACTAACTCGACTTCCCTCTCCCATAGTTTTGTGCTTTCTCGTCCCTCTCCTCTCTACTTCTGTCACGTTCTGTGGATGCATCTGCCTCCGGAACTGTGGAGTCTGAATCTGTGGTTGCAAGCCACCTACTGCCCCTATGTTCCTGCTTGACACCCGCTGTTACAGTTTTTATTATTAGTCCTATTATGAACATTATTATTGTTATTATATATTATAGTTATTATTATCATTATTACAGTTAGAGATGAAATGGTACTAAAATTATCCACAATTTAGACCAAAATGATCACGATTATCAGTATTATCATAGTATTGTTAGTGTGCTGAAAAAGATTAAAACGTACTATACATTTACAACAACAAAAATTAACAGTTTGTTTGCATAAACATTGAAACAATAACCAATACCTATGTAAACATATGAAAACCATCTAAGTGTGCATTATCAGTAAAGATTTTGTATTATATAAATAATGCAATGACTCCATGCACAATTACATACAAATTAAGTCTTTAGAAGACAGTGATAGTAACTGCAATGAGCGTAACAACTAATATGAATGACACAGAGGTGTCTGCAGCATTTCGCCCGTTCGGACACTTTTACAACTAGTTTGCTGCTGGATTTTAAATGAACAAAATATGTTGGTTGGAGACTAAACTGCGTAACATCTTATCATTGCATTTGCAGTCGGCGAATAGTCTGCAGACACACAATGTACACAGCAGCAGAACAATGTGTAGTTTGTTTTTTTTAAACGAGCAGCTAACACTGAGAGCTTCGGTTTACAAGCTGTTAGCAAGTCAGACAGACAAACCAAAGTTAACTCACCCTGTGTCTGCTATAAGGTAATTTTCTTCAATCAAGTTTCCCTCAGCACTCTTATAAAAACCAAAATACAACCAGACTTCAGAGTGACTGAAATATCTCTTCTGCCAGGTTGTCATTCACCTAAACAAACCCATATTGCATACTGCGCATGTGCGCCTGCTTAAGGGACAGTATTTGCCGAGAGTTTATCAAAGCGCGGTAACCGAAACTGGTCATCATGGTAATAAAAATGTGTACGGTAATAATCATTGGGAATTTTACCATGGTTTATCATTAAGCCAGCAACTGTTTCATCACTAATTACAACTATTTCATTTACATATTGTACCACTGCCATTATTTTATATCTCTATGTGGAACTTGCATAGTGCTACTGCGTGTTCTCTTTCCTCCTGCTCTCTCCCCCCCCTCTCCCTCACTTACTCAACACAGTCAAAGCAGCCCGCCCTAATGTTAAGTTCTGCTCAGTTTTCCTTGCCACTCTCGCCAAGTGGTTTCTCACGGTGGGAATTTTCATTGTCGATTAATCTGTCGATTATTTTATCAATTAATTGATTAGTTGTTTGGTCTAAAAATTTTGATCAGTGTTTCCCAAAGCCCAAGATGATGTTCTCAAATGTCTTGTATTGTCCACAACCCAAAGATATTCAGTCTACTGTCATAAAGTAAAGAAACCCGAACATGTATGAAGCTCCAATCACAGAATATGGAGGAACTGAGAACTGAAATTTCTATTTTTGTACCAAGAAAACAATAAGAGATTCGGGATCAAGTTTCCTGTAGTTTTATAGAGATGAGGACGTCTCACCATGGTTTCATACGCCACACCACATCCTCTATGTCCTGTCTGATCTCATAGGTGGACTCTAGACGAAAGAGGTTAAAGTTCCTCAACAGGTAGTCATGGAGGGTCAGGAACTGTAGATTCAGCTTAGGTAGTGCTAGACAGCCTAAAAAGAAACAAATGAATAGACAAAGACAGAGTGAATAATCTAAATATGTGAGTAATTATTCACACACGTACGTAGTCGATAAACAGGTCATAATCTTTTCTGTTTTCTATACAATTACAAAAAAAAAAGGTTGAATGGCCAAAGTCATATGTAGCAACCTCTGTAATATCAACTGGGTAAATTGTTGCTTCTACACAGACTACTGAATGTATAAATGTCACAGCCAATGAGTTAATATGCTTAAGGGTTGCTTGAATGGTCAGTGGTATGCGTGTTTGTTGAAGGTGCCCTTGCAAACTAAAGAGGATTCCCAAGAGAGGTGCCAGTTCAGTGTCAGATGAATGGCCTTAGGATAAGGGATAATACAAGGTGTGGGTGTATAATTATGAGTGTGTGACACTGGTAGGGCCCTGTGAGGTCCGTTTAAAGGTCCAGATTCTGTTGTACTGTTTTCCAAATTCTGTGTTTTACATTTAAATATTTCCAAATTCTGTGTTTTTTACGATTTAAGCACATTTTGTCATCAGAAAGAGAGAGGTCACATGGTAGATGCATAAAATATCAACAATTTAATATGAAAATATAAAAAATTTAATCAACATCAATTAAATTTGATGTGTCATGCAAATGAATACTATATAAAATATTCAAATGTACAGTAAAACTTCAATCAAAAGCCTAGTCCCAATTAGACGCTGGTCCATTTTACTTTGACAAATAAAAGCATGTCTCAATTAAATGCCTGGTCCAGTTATATAAAAGTTCTTTAAATGTATAAAACCCACCGGGTCAATCTGCTTGAGCTAGTTCTAAGCTGCTTAGATCATCATACCAATGTGAATGTTTAAACTTTTGGCAAAATGAACATGCTACACATCGTTAGACAATACAATTCAAGTGTTTAGATCATTTTGCAGAAACAATGAGCCCCAAAGTATTATTCATTCGGATTTACTGCCACGGAAAGGAATTATAGACCTGCCCCATATAGGCAGGGCAATTAATATTTTACAGTATGCGCAATTATTTTTTCCAACAGAATATCTGACATCGCTTAGCATGTGTGCTCTAGTGCATGTTAACTCACACAAACATACACAATCACAATTCACACAAGCAGCACAAACCTTCGCCTGAGTAGTACTCTGTCGGGACGATGTTTTCATCCCAGATGATCTTCTCTGTTGGATAAAGCGGCATCTGGTTAAGTTGCTCAATCTGAGAGATTCTGCGCTCATGACGGGACACCTGTGTGTGCGGGTGGCAAACAGCAAGAGAGCGAGAGAGAGAGACAGAGAGGACGAAGACAGATAGAAATAGGGTTATTAAACAAATGCACATGTGCCGATTTAGCTGAGTGTCTCCAGATCTTTATCGTCTTCCTTACTGGAATAGATATCAGGAAATAAAGAAAAAAACATTTCCACAAAATCAGGCTGAAACCAGATAATGGTTGGCATTTTTGCTTGAAAAATGACTGAAACGATTAATTAATTGTCAAAATAGTTGTCACTTAGTTTTGTGTTGATTCTCATACTCATTATGTTTGTGTAGGTTCTTGCTTAAAGAAGAACAATTTTGTGAAACATTGCTGTTAAAGAGGAAGCTTCTCTTGCAGGAATCTCTGAACCTAGCACATGTCCTACGGAGGTTTTGTGGATGTACACACAATCAGGTTGCTATTGTTTTGTTACTGTCCTGGAAAAAACATGAGCTACTATGAGTTACTATGTCAAGGGGAGTACTATCTGCTGTAGAAGTAAAAAGCCTAATCTAGCCTAACACTGGCGTAACACCAGTTCTTACTCTCAAAAAGAATGGCTCCTTCTCCCTAAGTATGTTCTCTGCTACAAGTATGAATGTTTTGCTACCATGTGGCAGAGTTCTAGTCATGTGGCCCCTTCCTATTAAACTCACATGGTCAGAGATGTTGGTTGTTGGGGGCAACCTCAGGCACACACAAATGAGTGCCCTGACATTGTCTCCTACAGCAATATAATCAGATAATTATGAAACAGCTCTTCTCTATCGCTTCTCAGAGAGGACCTGGGGAGGGGTCTGAGTGGGTAATTATGAATAACCGCAGGCCAGCCTTAAAACACCCCCTTGGATGAAGAGGTCGACAGCACATGTGTGAGCTGGACGAGGGTCGGGTAGTTTCTGGAGGGGTTTTAAAAATGAAAATTGGGAGAGCGAGAGAAGAAGAAGCAGAGAGCACAATCAAACTAGCTCTAGCCTTTCAAGAGATACTAAAGGGGAAGAAAAAGTGTCTCTCTCTCTCATCAGCACAGTCTTCAATTCACCCTACAAATGCCCACATGAAGCAATAATTGGATTAGAAGGCAAATTCAAAAGGGACATGCAGTGAAGAGGGGATACTAAATGTATTCCAAGGTCAAGACCTTAAATTAATTACTTTAAAATGAGAAACACAAAACCTATTATGCCGTAGCGCTGACTGGTCAGTTATTGTCCTGGAAAATAACTGTTCACCAACATTGTTTGTAGAGGTGCACCAATACCAATTGTGCATCTCTTATACTGCCAGTTGACACGCACAATGCGCCTGAAGTATTTATAGTAAGTATTAAGTAAGTATTATAGCACAACTAAACAGTTTCCATCTAATCAATTAAACCATCTGTGGCATTAAATATTTTAGCAACAGGGTCATATTTAGCAAAAAAATATGGTATATATATATATATATATATAAAAGCTACATCTGGATTTCCACAAGGTTGCTGAAGTTCACAAGCCATACGTCAGTGGGACCTGTCTCCATTAGCATCCAAGTACAGATGCAATAGATTATTCATCATCCATTACAACATCCCCCCCAACAAACCCCGATTTCTGACTTAAAAACTCAAATTTCTGCATAGACAATTTCATAAAAGCCAAGACTGCACTTACCAGCAGCTCAAGGAGAACCTCTTTCTCATAGGTGGTGTCTTGCCCTTCAGGTAGCTCTGGCAGCAGGCACAGATATGAGGCCACCTGGTGGAGCGTATTGGGACTACAGAGGAAGTTGACAAGTGGTTAGTCAGCTAGAATATTTGCATTTGTAAATTACACATTTAGCTGGCACTAAGCAGATAATAACTAACTGCTGTCTGAAGACACAATGTTTTGGTAATGAGTGAAAGGGTTAATCTGATGTGTACTCATATTACAATGATTAAAAAAAACTGCCTACATATAATGTAATGACTACATATAATTACTTTGGTGCATCTCATTTATAAAAAGAAAATCACATGTAGGTCCAGTCTCTTCTGAGAAAGACTTTTCAAATGACTGCGTCACAACTATATGCGTGAAGATAAACAGCCTTATCAAATTCTTTGGGCTTGTTAGCACCGGGGCATAAAGCAATACTTCTGTTTGCTTTGACACCGCACTCCTGCTCTGTCAGCATGTGTGTGTTAAGGGGCCGGGACGCACTGATGCGACAGGATTATGAAAATCAAAGCCCATCTCCATCTCAGAAAGCTGAGGCATGGCTCTCTGCATACAGACCTGTTTTAATCAGGCTGACACACTGTGACAGGGGCAGTGTCTGGTGCACAACGAAGGACAGGGCCTGGACACATTGTGACAGGCCTTGACAGCCACACGTGGCACTGACCGACTGTATCCGTGTATGTGCATGCATTTTGCTACTTGTGATACAACTTGTGGGCAGTGGGGTGGCAATTCTGCCAATGTTGCAGTCTGGTGGATGACCTGGCATACCAGGTCGTGACTGACAGCTCAGCTACTTGCAGGGTAAGGTAAGGGTGGGGACATAATAGAAACCGGTCTACAGTAAATTTATTCCATAGCATGAAAGCTGTCTTGACCCATGTTGAGATTTGGGTATTATTATTAATATTGGGTATTAAACAGCAACTTAATTAAGCAAATGTGTAATTTCATCAATTTTGCAAAGAGCAAATTACCGAAGGCATCACCTGGTCAGTTAAGGGCATTATCATTCAGCTAGTTAGACACTACACACAACCACAACAGCAGATAACATCACCAGCCTTTCTTTTTTAATTAAAGAAAAACAAAAACAACTTTGACAAAGGACTTTTATGGCAGATCTGCTGAAAATGAAAGTGGTTTATGCCTTCACCATATTGTTTTCTTTTCTTAGCCACATAATATCCTCAGAATGGGAACTGGGATTCAATGAGAAGTGGAATCAATAAAATCTAAAACACATTTTCCAATGACATGCCCACAATGAAGAACTGATCCACAGAACAAATTACACCAATTATTTTGACATTTCCAGAAGTGATGATTCTCTTCAATTTTGCTAGCATTCCACAAAGTGATGCATACTCTTTGATCTTGTAGTCAACTCAGTTTGTGACCTGAAACGACACTCAACACGTTTTATGTAACTGAAAGAAGATTGAGTGTGTGAGTGTGTGTGTGTGTGTGTGGGAGAGAGAATGGGTGTGTATATGTGTGGGCAGGCAATGCAATAATGCTGCGTTTGTGTGTTTGGGGGACTTAGCGGATAAATTCAGAGCGGCGGGTGACTGGGAGCTTAGCCCGTGGGTAGTGCAGCTGGAATAAACTGGCATTAGCATGAATTGTTTGGATGAAAAGTGCCTCGTTAAATCTGATCGGCATATTTGGAGTTACCCAGGAGCTGCTTTGGTGACAGTTGTGGAGCAGGGAACAATGCGGTTCCTGCTATATTCAAAACCCCAATACTGGGAAAAGGAGCAGAGCTTCTAGAAATACATGAAATGGTTCAGCTAAGTCTTTACCTGATTCAGCTCAGCTCATAGGCCTCTGCCTGACTCAAAGAAACTTAGTGCGGGTTTAAAGCATTTATAATCCACTACAGAAGTTAAAAAAAGGTGATGGATATACAAACGATTGCAGAGAGCAAATTTGTTGTTCCAACACAGCACAGCACTTCTGACAAATAGAGACATCACATACTGTACAAACAAATTAGTAATAGGTCACTCACAGAGTGTGTTGTAGAGTCAAAACATGACAGTTTAAAGACCTTCTAAAAGTATGGTTCATTCAATTTAAAACTTAATTAGGATCGCAAATGCCAAGAAAGGTTAGAAATCCTAAGTAATTCCACATTACCAATAAATCTATGTCTTTTCACTCCCCTTCACAAGGTAACAAAACCACACACACGGTAGTTCATCAAAGCAAGGGTGCTTTTTGGCTCTTTGGCAAGCTAATATGATCTGACAAACACAGCTGTTCAAAGACTTTATTCTCAAACCACTGCAAATCGATTAAATTAATGAGGCGTGCCGCTCTCTCTGGTTGGTACCAGCTGCCCGTTCAAGGGCTCACTAGCTGCCATTTAGCAGGGAAGTCAGGCAGCAGCGGTGGTGCTGATGCTACACTGCAACACAGGACCAAGATAGGTAGTCTGCATGAGTGCCAGTACTTTAACTGAGGCTTATATATTTAGTGATCAGAAGAGCCTCAGATTTTGTGTGTTTTCAGAAATGATGGTATGTTCTCTTAAGGACAAACTAAATACTTTAAGTTTCTGTAAATGAGGCAAAATGGTAAAAAGCAAAAAAGGTGAGTCACCTCTAGGTAGATATGCAGTACATTTACACAGGAAGTAGTCCTGTTAGTTAAAACAACCCTGTGGTGCTATAGCATTTTAGTATTAAGAGGTCACTGTAATTGTACTCAAATCACACATGCCTTCCATCTGTGCACAAACTGCAAGTGCAGTTGTTAGTTTCAAGATCCATTCTGGATGTTTTGATTTACCTGAGGTGGCCAAAGTGTTTGGTCAAGGATTCGCGAGTGTCCACTGCTGCTACGCTGGACAGAGCAAAGTCTTGCAACTCTGGGAAATGAGCAAAAGCTGCCCTCTGCAAGACAGAAAACACAGTGCAAATAACTCAGACTTATGTCAAATACGCACCATCACTGTAAAATATTACTCATCATTACATCAAGGCAATGTAGTATAGAGTGAAAAATGATTATGGAAAAACAAAATAAAAAAGAGAAATAACAGAATCTGGCATTATACACATATACAAGGATCCTTTCATTTATTATCACAACTGTGAAAACCAGATTTGGCTACTGGCTGAATAATTTTGTTTTCATGTTGCTGTCTCCCACCACACACACATACTCCAGATGCACAATGATTCCCAAAGAGATCAATGAAGAACACTTTCAGTCTAAAAACAACAACAGAACCAGAGTAGACAGGACATATACCACCACATGTCTGTGTATACCTCTTTATGTATAGTATTTACCTGCAGGGAGGTGATTCTGTCATAGTGCAGAGTGGTCATCTCTTTCCCCGTCAGTGCGTTTCCTGTCTGGTCATTGATCTCAAAGCCTGTGTAGAACTTCAGCATGTCCAGCAACTACAGAAATGAGACAATAATCCACATTACTTCTACACATGGAAATGAGTGCAGAGGTGGTTTGGAAGTCAGTGTGCATGAATATAATCATTTCAAGTGTATGTATATATGTCCTTCTGTTTGCTTGTGTGTGGTACCTGGCAGAAGAGATGGCCCTCCTTTTCTCTCTCAGTGAGGCTGGACAGGTGGCATCTGACCACCAAGTGAGAGTCATCCAACACGGTATTGAACCAACGTCTGGTAGGCAGCAGGGCCTAGACATACAGTACACCATATTTACAGCACTGCAATATATGCTTACAGTTGTGGCTAAAATATGTCTCTAATTGAAATGTGTTTGGTTAAAAAAAGATGTAGGGGGAAATTCTATTTCAGTGGACATAACATGGAGGAAAAAAAGTATTGCATGCACACACTTAGTCTGATGCTTCTCTGTCACAAAATAAGGAATTAGGTATTGTATTAAGGGACACCTCAAGGGTCATAAGAATCAATTGACTTGACTCAAGAACAACCACATTTCCCAGCATCTGGGCCATGACTATCCATACGTCTTATTGATCCATGGTCTTTTTTTGTCTTGAGGCTGTTTTTGAAACATACTGGAGGATAGAACAGCAAACAATAAGGCACACTGACAGTGAGACGTAAAAAGAAAACTGGCTCAGCTACGTCTATAGCCATAATTTATTTGCTTGTTGTAGCACACAAACACGACATGAAGGCAAGTACAGAGGAAACCTGTCAAAATGAGATAACAGAGCTGCTTTGGTAGGAATACAGAAAAAGAAATACTGAACATGCTGATGCAGTGACAGTCTGAGTGAGCGACTGACTGCTGCATACAGAACAAAAAAGGAGTTCAATTTATCATACTATAAGAGCAAAAACAGAAGAACTAGCCAGAAGAAATCTCTTTGATCGCAACACTGTCCTGACAGCCAGCATGAAACAGGCATGAAACTTGGGGACCCCCCCCCCCATTAATTTTCAGGTTGTCATCAAAGAGGGGAAGTATGGATTTCAAGCAACTGAGACTTTGTAAAAGGACAGCGCTGAAGGACAAGAGATGTCTCTAGAGACTGTAGGCTGGCCGGCCACTAGCCGCTGCCAGGAACAGCAAGGCCGGCCTGTCAGCAACTAGCCAGATGAAATCTATTGAGCTCCCTTGCTAGTAACACGAGATCTGCACAGGCAGCAGTAGCAACACTCTTATGTGACACTGTGTCTTTACTCAAGATAGCCAACCTTACTGGCAAGGTTGTCTCACCGAAACACTAGGTCAAATTCTATTTTGAAATATTTTAAATTACCCAATATGATGATTGCTCATAAAAGGTCCCTCCATCTTTATGAGCTATTTTGTGCACCATGAATACCAGTTCCTCCATTAGAGTAGAGCTGCACAAATCAACCATAAAAAAAATAATTTTACAGTGTGATTTTCATTCAGGGTATTGGATTATTTGTTTAAACAACAGGGATATGTGTTCCTCTACTGTGTATTTCACCTACAAGACGTTTATCTCAAACAGCAGATAAATGAATGTAGGACAATTAATTTAAAATGGGATGTTCATTAAAAAAAAAAAAAAATAGATAGTACAAAACAAACGTGTTTTTGCTCCTTCAAACACAGATTATTCCAGAAGGGAATTGGGTCTCAGGTTCACAACCTTTATGTCCAGCAGACACTGCACATTACTCTACACCTTATACCAGATGTCAAAAGCTATCAGGCTGAAAAAAACATCTCTGTTACTCAAAGACTATTGTTTCAAATACTGTGGAGCTTTGCAGACAGTAATGACAGAGACACATTGGGCGGAGCTGAGACCCAACATTTTTGTCCATTGTCTGTTACCTGAGTTAGCTATAAATGTGAAGGACGCAAGGCAAATGAGGTCTGCAGAAACTAATGTCTATGCCGCTTCCTTCACCAGGATACCATGATTAAGCAAATATATTGTAGCCCTACACCCTTATAGGAGTACACACACAGTGGAAATGACTATCTGGATAGTCTGTGTTAAGATTGAGTGCATCCTCTTGCACTGCACACAACCCAATCCAGGGAGAGAAAAGAATGGCAAGAGATTGTAATATTTACTGAACAAGGTTTTGGTATTTGGTCTTACCTCCAAATCTATCATGAGTTCAATGAATCTCTCACAGTAATGTACTTTGTCCATGCATACAGGTCCTATGGAAAAGGAAGGAGCAAAGCATGGAAATTAGCGCTTCACTTCAGAAATTGCATGTTGTCAATGACAAAAGCAATCTGACATGTAGATGTCACTATCTAAACATCCGAGGCTGAAAAAAAGATAAGGAACGATAAGATGTAGCAGTGGAAGGGAGGTTGTGTAGTTATCACCAAGGATATGAGAACAGCAAACGCATGTGGACAACACCAAGGTGCCATGCTGAGTATGTGAGCCTCACTATGAGATACTGCATTGCCAGCACAGCAGCATGCTGAGACCTCAGCCCTCATTAAGCATGTTGGTGTGTATGGGTGTACACTTAAAGTTGAGGCAAGCAGCAAGTATTAGAGTGATGTGGATCCTGCTGGGATTTCGATTATAATCTACCCTGTCAGATTTGAATTCTACCTAAACACACAAATACACATGTTCTGTTTTTAGCAGTCAGGTGGGGGCCTCTGTGTCGGCCTGCATTACAACATAGTAGTCAGTGCCAGTGGCTCTACGGCAGCTGGAGCACATGCTCCTTCAGAGGCTGCACGACTCTGAAAGGAGGGAGTAGTGCAACTGAAATAGTGATTAAAAAAAGGGTAATAATGTGTTTCATACTGGCAATATGGCCCTGGACTGCAGAGATGTGCTATCTGATTCTGTGCGAGCTCTAGAAACGCACATTAATCATGCTGGTAAAGGTAGAAAGAGTACATTCAAAGACCTGTTTTGGGACCAATGTCACAAGGAAAGTTATGCAGCATCAGTAATTTTACTCAATATTTGGAGTTAGAATTCAACGCCAGGGATGCACTATTTTATTTTTTTGTATTAAAATAGGTCATAATGGTCATTCTTCTTGCTGAAGGAATTCCATGAGATATAGTTATACACAACACTATGAAATCCCAATGGAAATAGTGTTTTGATCCTGTTTACCTGATGGCGGAATTGACGTGAGCACCCCAAGAAACTTTTTAATGAGAGCCGAGAGGAAGGTCCTCTCTTTATTTGCCCTGAGGAAGACAAAGAAAGCAAATCAGAAAAGGCCAAGAAGCTCATGTGATACAAAACATAGTTTCCCAGTCTGTAGAGATCTGAACATGCAAGCAAAGAAAATAGTATTACTGCTCAGCTGCGTCAGCATCCATCTTATCAAATTTCTTCTTGATTAGATTCCAGAATTTCTGCAGCTTTGGGACTTTCTTAAGCTCGTGTTGGAGTCTGGACTGCAAACACGATAGAAACAAATCAGAAAGACTGTCAAGTCTACCTCAGGATTAGTGTCATAACAAGGAGGCAAAAGTTCCTATAAAATGACAAAAAAAAAAAAGTAATTTCTTGGTGTGCGCAAATAACCACCAGAAAAACTTAATTAGGGTAATAGGTTGACATCTTACTGGTAGGAGGCACATCCACATAGGCAGGGAGATGAGCTGCTGCACCTGCTCTCTGATCAAATCTACCTCCTGGGAGACGGCGAGAGGGAGAGACAGAGAAGGAAAGAGAGAGATGTGAAAATGTACTGTGTATGACAGATTTTTATTACACTTCAGCCTATAATAAAAGTCTGCAACTAAAATATTTAGAGGCCTTTATAGGATACAATCAAAGTGCAGCAGGCTATCACAGCAGATTTCTAAAGCAAGACATCTGCAGTGCTTTCCTGTGGTTTAATGCTGCTATAGCACATACAGATGGGTGGGAGCTGACCCAAGTTGTACTGCCTAGTCTACTACTGCCACCTAGTGGACCTTAGAAAAAAAATGCACTGACTTCCACATTTATCTTTGACAACAAAACATTTCGGCATTGTTTATGCCCTGACAATTCAACAGGATTTCTGCAGGTTTCACCTAGTCAATTTAAGCCTTTCAGACCACTATGAATGAAATTTAAGAGCTATATCATAACAAAAAACATACAAAGGAAATGCAGTCACAAAAATCCTTGCAGAGTAAATAAATGTATTCAAATTAGGGTTGAGCAATGTGAACAACACCGATAAGCTACGTAATTAACAAACTGGCATACGGTGAACCTGCTGCCCTGAAAAAGGATCACAGTTGGAAATATCTAGACAAAAGAGGAGTTCTGTGTCTTTTCGGCGATTTTATAAAACATAACCTACTGCTGATGGAGAAACTCAGGGGAGCACACAGGGAGACAGAGACGGTAAGAGGCGGGGAAAGCGGTATGTTTGCAGTGAGAGACAGAGGTAAAGGTGTGAGTTTGAGTGAGTACAGAGAGAAGTTGAGGCAAGTGCAAAGTTACAAATAATACATTTACATTTACAAATAATAAAAATAATGTCCATGGGGATTAAAACATGCTTTCACCGGGCGGTAATGTGTAATGGTAATGCAATAAAGTAAAAAATGAAGATGGTATTTTGGGGGTTTGGTGGTCATCCCCCAATAAGGTTTTTAGGAAATATGCAATTCCACATAATTTTGGAACATTCTTATTACCACATCTGTGAATAATAAGTAGGAATATCTAGAGCAGATTTTGAATAAACTACACCCAAAAGCTAAACTTGCTAAATAAGTCTGCTGGGTTTGAATTATAACCATTAGATCTGGGAAAATTCATGTGATTTGATGCTTAAATCTTAAGCTTAATAGTTTTGATGCTCAGCAGCAGCACCAAGCAGTTTTGAGCCTCACCCTCACTTATAATGGCAGGAAAACACTGTTAATATGACCTCAGAATCATTAAAGATAGAACTGTTCATATTTGCCCTTCTCGTCTTAATTTACTGCTTTTTACATTTGCAGAAATTAACATAAATAATAGGCAACATGAGAACCACCTCCCTTCTGTATAATTACAAGCATTTCATTTGTACATCAAAATCCAAAAGAAGAATCTCCTTATTAGCTTAAAAGGACTAGTTTGCATCCCTAATTTGCTTTAACGTTACTAACCTCAGCTCCTCCATAGTCAGTCTTTTCTTTTTAATGTAATTTAACTATGAATATGTAACTTACAGTAGGTATACAGGACAAAGCTGCAACCTGACAACTTAATGCTGATCTTATCCACCGCTACTTTCACCGTCTGCCACTCTCTCTTACATTCGCTCGGCCTTTGAAGAATGCGAAGAGGGAGACAGCCATGCGATGAGTGTGAATTACCGTTGCTTACTGAAAATCATTAATGATCGTGTGAAATTTTAGTAGCGGCGCTCATTCATTAAATATCGACAGCAGGCTTCAAATATGTTGCTAGCAAGTGGTTTGAACCAAGCCCTAAGTTCTGTTTCTTTCAGGCAAGAGTCGCTAAGGTTGCACTTTCGCACAGCTGAAAAATAAATCCGTTTTAAATCTGTGGTACAATCCGAAAGAGGCTCGCGGCAATAACACGACAGCTGCATGTTGGTCTTTGTACTAATACAGCGTATTATATGTAGACTAGCGAAAGTAAGAACTACAACACCACGGGGAGGAAAAAACATTCCAAAGCTCTGTGGGAGCATTTCAATGAGCATTAGAGGTAGTGTTACATGGACATTGGAAAATTAATAAAATTGTTTAAGACCTAGAACACAAACTTCAGCGAATTTAAGACTTTTTAAGTTCTTAAATTTTGATTTTGAAATTTAAGACTTTTTAAGACCCAGCAGAAACCCTGTTCAAATTCTCATGCAAATTCCTTGAGATCAAATTTAAAATGCCGATAGAATCGTTAACACAGCTTGATTTCTCTTGTACATAACAAATGAATATACCACCAGTATTCAAAGTGTATTTAACTGTATTGGTTATCTCAGGATAATCATCTTAATTATCTTCTTATCCAGACAGACACTAATGAATGGCTGCTCTGTTTTTAGACAAACCATCTTACTGTAAACCATGTAAATATTGTAATCAACATATAAGATGATTATTCCCAGTAATCTCGGTATTACATGAAAACAAACATCCTCGTTGACCCTACAAGCAGCAGCCCAACACTCATAACATTCCCTAAGTTACATATGAATATCAGTGTAGTGGTACACACCAGACTGTTGAAACAGTGGTCCAGGAAGACCAGCAGCACAGTCTGCTCCTTCAGAGTGAGGCCAGCCTCGTCGCCTGCCAATACAGCTTCCATCACACATTTAAAGAAGAATGGGAAATGGCTTGGCTCCTTTTTGAACACCTGACACACGCCATTCAAAAAATAAAATTCAGTAACCAATGCAATGACGATCAGTCTAAACTTAGATGAGGAACTGCATTTCTTACCTCCCAAGCTGGGACATTCTCTCTGAACTTCTCGTTGACGATGCAACAAATGGACATGAGGTAGGCATTGCTGGATACCTCTGCAGTGTAGTTCACCCACAGGTAGTTCTCAAGATACTGGCTGAAAGATGAGAAAATAATGTATGAATATCTATCCAGTTACTCATTGGCTGCTTAATAAAAAGAGGGAATAAGAGAAAGTGAAATATCCCACCTGAACTCAAGGAGCATAATTTTTCTGATGGCAAATCTGAAAACGTACAAAAGATAATAGAGTCAGATAGATGAGTGTAAAATTTGTTCATTGGATTAAATATGGTAGTTTAAGACATAGATGCTATACATTTACTTACTTGGACTTGAGAATCTCTTTTTCGTAAATATCTTCCATCACCTAAACAGTAAAATAATGTTATACTTCTAATGGCTTAAGGCAAACACATAGGACCCCTACCTCAATGTTAAAAACACAAAATGTGCGTTTAGGTAGTTCATTGAGTTATTTTAATCAAGCTACATGATTAAAATACATTTTGGTTAGGGCCAACAGACATAACTAACACTATGACAAATTCAGTATATATAGGCCCCTCCAGAAGTATTGGAACGGTAAGGCAAATTCCTTTGTTTTTGTTATTCACTGAAGATATTTGGGTTTAAGATCAAAAGATGAGTATGAGACAAGAGTTCAGAATTTCAGCTTTCATTTCGTGGTATTCACATTTAGATGTGTTAAACAACTCGGGACATACCACCCTTTGAACCCACCCATTTTTCAAGTGAGCAAAACTATTGGAGCATGTTTCTTGTTGCCCAGGTGTTGCCTTTTAGGTTGATTGTCCAAACATTAAATAGCTCTGCATGACTAGTCTAAGTTTTCATCCTTGGTTCAAAGCTATAAAGATTGCATTTCCTGTTAAAGAGCATAAACCAACATGAAGACCAGAGAGCTGTCTATGGGAGAAAAGCAAGCCATTGTCAAGCTGAGAAAAGAAGGAAACTTGACCAGAGCCCCAGGACAAACATTGGGCATAGCAAGCACAATTTGGAATGTCCTGAAAAAGAAAGAAACTACTGAGTACTGAGCAACAGACATCGAACAGGTCGGCCAAGGAAGACAACAGTGGTTGATGACTGAAATACCGTGAGAGCTGTGAAGAAAACCCCCAAAACATCAGTAAGTGACATCACCAACGACCTCCACAGTGCAGGGGTGAAGGTATCACAATCCACTGTTCCGAACAAGACTCAGAGAGCAGAAATAGAGAGGCCACACTTCAAGATGTAAACCCACATCAGCAGTAAGAATCAGAAGGCCAGATTGAAATTTGCAAAGAAGTACAGAGATGAGCCACAAAAGTTCTGGAACACAATCTTATGGACTGATGAGAGCAAGATGAATCTCTGCCAAAGTGATGGAAAGGCCAAAGTGTGGAGAAGGAAAGGAACTGCTTATGATCTGAAGCGTATGAGCTCGTCTGAAGCATAGTGGAGGTCATGGCTTGGGTGAGCATGGCTGCTTCTGGAACAGGCTCATTAATATTTATTGATGTAACTGATTGTAGCAGCAGAATGAATTCAGAAGTGTACATAAACATTTTGTCTGCCAATTTACAGAGAAATTCATTGAAACTAATGGGGAGGAAGTTTATCATGCAGCAGGACAATGAGCCACAGCACACTGTCAACAAAACAAAGGACTTCATCAGGGGGGAAAAAAATAAAGAATGCAACAGTTTGGTGATGTCGATGGGTCGCAGGCTTGAGGCAGTTATTGCAAGCAAGGGTTATGCTGCCAAATATTAAGTGTTATTTTCTTTAAGATTTGTTCCTTTACTTTTACTCACCTAAGAATGCTGTGGTCTAATAGAAACTGTGATATGTCCTAAGTTGTTTAACACATCTAGATGTGAATACCAGGAAATAAAAGCTTAAATTCTGAACTCTTGTCTCATACTCATCTTTTGATCTTAAACCCTAGTGTCTTCAGTGAACAACAAACAAAGGAATTTGCCTTACTGTTCCAATACATTAAATTTTGGAGGGGACTGTAGAACATGTGTTGTACAAGTAAGTTGCAACCTATAGTGTATATTGACACTGCTAAGAAGCAGCAATACATGTGACTCACCTTAGGGTCAAAGGGTAGTTTATTCTTTGCATGGGGAGCCCAATACTTATTAGCCAACTGAAACAAGAAATCAGAAAACAGTTGGGAGTATGAACATACAAAGTGTCATTAAGCAACACTGAGGTTGGTAGAAATGTGTGGGAAAACTCAGACGTTTAAGACGACATACTTGGTTTTCTGGTGTGGATAAATTCTCTTCTGGTTTATTACCAAATAGCGAACTATCTAGAGAAGAGTCCTCTGTCAAAGGTACACATCTCACCACTCTACACGAGTACTTTTTACGTGTATTAGGATGCAGAAAACTCATCTAACGTTAGTAAATCGTCTATGCAAGTACAACTCAAGTTCACTTAACAGACTTATTACATGTAAATGTGCCAAACTGACAGCAGATGAGGGGACAATATTTCTGTCTTCAGCATAAAAACGGCACGGGAACACTTTTTTCCAACACGTTACTGAACCACATGTGTAGTAAACATGTACAATGATTACCTGTGTGACATATTCTGCATTAATCTGAGACACAGAAGGCGCTGCAGCTTTTTTAGAGGGGGTTTCTTTCTCCATCGTGGCCATCTCGAGCAGCTATAATGACGACTGTCAGAAAAAGAGGGAATTGAGAGATTTTATGAAAGTAACTGTAGCTACTCATTAAACACCAACACGCTTTGAACTTAGCGATTTGTAACGTTACTGAATTCATGCTTTTAAAAATACGGGGCCAATATACGCAACAATAGTGCTGAGAAAGTTACGTTAGCTTGCTAAGTTTAAACTTAAGCAACATAAGGTCTTGTTAATTGGTGAAATCTGAGCTATTCTAAATGTTATAATTACGTAAACGCCTGCCCAATACTTCAAATGTCTAAGCAGTGGTATACCGTTCCTACAAAGAATAATTAACGTAAATACTAAAATCACGTTAGCCGTTTCATAAGATCAGACAATCAGCTAAGCTAATTAGTAGCATTTACAAGGTGACTAACAAACCAGTTTTAACGATATCGTTACTATTAGTCCCATAGCGTACACAAAAGTGTGATAAAGTAAGCTTACTAACCTTTATTTTCATTTCAGCTCTTACTGCCGTTGAACAGTTACGCATGTACACAACCACAACGCGCCGTATGCGACTTACTTCCTGTAAAGGTAGGTCCCTAAGAAATTGTCCCCGGGTACAAAAGCGCGTCTTCCGTTCCTACTCTGATTTTTTTTGTATTTCTCTAAAACAACACGTCTTAACCAAATTGCGACGATCATTGTAACATATTTATTTTTGAGAATTTTTCACATCAATTAAATGTGTGACCAGAACAAATTTAACAAGAGGCACAATACCATACGAAACACATTGGAAATACTGAAAATATAAATATAAAACAAATCTAAATTATCATACAGCTATTACATTCTTTACATACATAATACAGTATACACACACATTATTACAATGACAAATCATTTACACAAAAAAACAAACATTATCATCCTCCTGAACTCCTGATTATCAATGAGTCACTCCTGAATATTAATGAGTCAGTCGGTGTGTTCTGACATGTGCTGACTGTGTGAATGTTTTACCACAAATTTCACACCTAAAGGGCCTCTGACCTGTATGGGTGAGATAGTGCCTTTTAAGTTTAGAGGGAGACACAAAATATTTGAAGCAAATGTCACAACGATGCTTCCAGGTTGACTCTGTCATTTTAGGTTGACCATGAGTTGAACAAATATTTTGCTTAAGATTGTTTTTGCTCTTAAAACATGCAGTGCACTTGTCACATTCAAACAAAGTTAGTGGTTCACACCAGTAATTATCTGGCTGCATTTGATTCTCAAACACGGAACTCACAAGTTCATCACTGAGCAGCTTGTTGCTACCTGAAATAGCTGCAACTCCTTTAAGTTGACATGGTACTTCTACATTTTGTGCATTGTCCTCATACTGATGTGACAAAGGTGGAGCTATCATGTTTTGATTTCGGACAAGCTTATTTATTTCAAAGGCAAGTTCAGAGGGCCTGCGATGGACTGGTGACCTGTCCAGGGTGTACCCTGCCTTTTGCCTGATGTCAGCTGGGATTGCCTCCAGCCCCCCGCGACCCTGTATGCAGGATAAGCGGTTGACGATTGATGGATGGATGGATGGAAGTTCAGAGGGAAATGAATGACTATAATCATCTGAAGCCTGATCATAATTGCCTGTAGCCTGATTACAATTTTGCCATTTTGCCTCCTCTTGTAAGCCTTCCTCTGATACTGCCAGACATTCAGTGTCTATTGGTTCAGAGCAATAAGATACACCTATATTAATAAATGAGTTATGACTATGACCAGCACCGGTATAATGTGACTCAGACTGCTCTCTTGTTGCAGCCACATCAAAATCGGTACAATCAGTAAGGTTTTCACTGCATTTATCCTGGAGATGGTTGGCATTTATCATTTCTTCTTGATTATGTGAGATCCTGGCACCCTGTCTGCATCTGTGCTCATGAACTTTTAGATGACAACGCTGTGTGAAGGTTTTGCTGCACAAAGTGCATTTGTATGGCCTAACTCCAGAGTGAGTGACCAAGTGCCTTGAGAGCTTGTATTGGGAAAAAAAGCTCTTAAAGCATATTTGGCATGTGTGAACTTTACTTTTTTTACAAGTTACGTCTCTTGTAGGGTTTGTCTTGAAGAGACTTTTCACGTTTTGTAAGGATATTTCACGCCCTGTGCAGAGCAGCACACTCACTCCATTGCCAAATGAAGTGTCTGTCTTTACAGATTTTTTCTGTGGTGGGATACGGACACTAATCCTTGGATAAAGCTGCTGTTGATTATTCACTTTCAGTGTTTTGATGTCCCCTTGTAGCTTGACTGGCTTGGGTGGTTTCCTCTCACAGTGAGTTCTTTCATGGGTTTTCAGATGTGGAGCTTGCCTGAATGCTCTCCCACAAATAACACACTGAAATGGTTTCAGGCCTGTGTGTACCATCTCATGCCTTTGTAATTTAGAGGCACTCGGAAAACACTTTAAACACCGGAAGCACTTGTGTTGAACGTTGCCTGAATTTAGCATTGATTTGGCAGTCTTTGTCCTTTTCACAGTCACTTTAGAAACCTTTCTCAAATGCACAACCTCAATTGTCTTTGAGGTATGTGGCAACAATTTGCTTTGTGATTTTCTGTTGCCATTCTGAATAATTACCTGGGTATGTTTCACAGAGATTACATCGCTGCCAGTGTGTGTCGCAAAATCCTTTTTAGGTATTATCATTTCCTGGACTGAGACGTCTGCCGCAGTCCTTGTGTTAAACCCACCTATGCAAGACGGCAGCCGATTGATATACAGTGAGCGTTGTTTGTGATACCTGGACCACAGGTGAGTGCGACAATGGACTCTCAAGTGTGTCTTCTGACGAAATCTCTTTCCACACATTTCACAGCCAAAGGGCCTTTGTCCAGTATGAGTCATCATGTGCCTTTGAAGTTTTGATACAGATGGAAAACATTTTAAACATGTATGGCACTGATGTAAAGTGTTAATTCTCTGCTGCTCGCTGGTGACATGGCAGGTTTCCCTCTGCTGTTCTGCTGATGTAAACTCAGAATCTTGAGGAAGGGAGTCATTGTGATCACTGCAATTTTCACTCCATGTTTCTGGTTTAACAATGATGTTCAAATCAATGGGATCCGCATGACTGGGTCCAAGTAAATTATTTATTGCTTCTGAATCACTCATTCTCACATTACCATTGTTTTGCACAGTGGTAGGACAATCCAATTCATTTTGGATCTTGTGAATTTTATGATGATGGATTAAATTAACTTCCAAATGAAACGATCTGCTGCAGATCATACACTGGAATGGTTTCAAGTCTTTGTATGTTAAGTACTGCTTGTCTAATTCATCTGACTTTTGACAAATACTATGAAAGTGACTGCTTGTATTTAATGGTTGCTCTGGTTTTACGACTGCATCCGACTTGATTTCAGTCTTGTTTAGGTCCTGCACAGCAGTTACACTTATTTTACACTGGAGCTCTAGTTCCATTGAGGAATTCACAGGAGTGCGATGGATGATGGGTTGTTGGTGGAGTGATGACTGAGTCTGGGGTGCACATTTATTTGCAGTACTTAAATGGGATTTCAAGTGTACCTTCTGTCTGAAGGCTTTCCTGCAGATCTTACATGAGTAGGGTTTCTGCCCAGTATGAATAAGAAAATGCCGTTGTAATTTGGATGGTGAACAGAAGGTTTTGAGACATTTAGGACAACGGTGTTTCAATGTTATTTTGCTTCTGCTGGAGCTCAATTCTTGTGACTGCAGATGCACCTTCGTATGAGCCTTTTTAGAAGAAGTCTGGCCTGACTCGCTTCCCCTCTTAAATTGTTTTGGTTTGTTATGAGTTGCTGAGTGAATCCAAAGCTGAAGAGATGACGTAAATGACTTCAAGCAGACTTTACAGGTGTATCTATTGTGGGGATAATATACATATGCATCTACATTTTCAGAATCAACTTGCTCCTGGGGTACTGCATCCGCAACATCTGAGGTACTATTTTGAGTCATTGAGCCATCACTTGTATGTGGCATATTTTTTGGTGGATTTCCAGTCTCAGAGGAAGGACGAACAAATGCATGAGGTTGATCACAACGTGGTTGTTGGTTATGAGTTAAAATGCCATCCTGTAGACGGTCTGTTGGAAGCCTTGAATGTTGGACTTTCTGCAAGTGCGTTTTTAAATGCTCAGACTGTGTGAAGGCTTTTCCACAGATTTCGCAGATGAAGGGCTTCTGGCCAGTGTGGATGACATAATGTCTCTGAAGTTTATATGTCGATGGGAAAGATTTTGGACAAACAGGGCAATGATGCATTTTCAAATCACCACTGTAGAGACTTTTTTCTCCCCAATTAGAGATGCTCTCACTATACCTAGGGCAATAGGACAAAGCATGACATTAAAACTTGAAGCAAACACGGAGGAACTCCAATCAGTGCAACTGACAACTGACAATAGGGAGTGATTTCATTACTATGTGACTATCCTCGCTATAATTAACATTATAATAGTGTACAACATTAACGTCTTATTAAATTTGTGGACATCTAAAACAGAAAATTGTAACCAAAGTTACGTATAATATGCATAATGTCTACAATATATTGCTGCAAAAACATTAACGTTACAACAATTTCCATAGATTTCCATGCTAACTTACATTATAACGTTAGGCTAACAACACAGGGATTTGAAAACGGCGTAAACAACATAATCAGAATTTGCAGCAAACGTCGGAACTGGCTAACAAACTCGATTTACTGGAGTAAGTCAGAACTACTTACTATTTGTGTTTGAAGTCCTAGTACAACTTATGTATTCACTAAGAGTTGACAATGTCTCTGACTTGTTAGCCTTCTTGCTAACGACGCCACAACCTCTGACGTCACCCAGACAACAATGCATGTACGTCCCTCAAAATGTACGGCGGGAAACAAAAATGTTCGGTATGGTTTCTATCCTGTTGCGAAGAGACCGCTCTTCTTCTTCTTTGTGGTTTTATGGCGGTTGGCATCCAAAATGTTGCATTACCGCCACCTACTGGTTGAAATAGTTTCCCAGTGCAATAAATTTACAGTGACCACCCAAAGCACTCCCATTCAATGCATTGTCTGTTTTCTGACTCGGACTCAATGGACTGAGATGGTATAAATCCTTCCCTCAGCGTAGTGACTATTTCTTCTCCTGATATGTTTACAATGTCCAATGTCTTGCCGCATCGAACACCATCTTAATCCTCTCTGACTTGCTCTTAATTTCAACAGCACAATTAACCACCATAGCAATAAATGCCAGAAATGCTTCTTGTCCATGCATATCATATTCTGCTCATCTCCATTCCTTTTTGGCTCATGTTACTTTTGCACTGCTGCTCGTTCATCCTTCCTTTCCAACGTCTTGATAGCTTTTGCTTAAGACAGATCCTCTTCTGTTATGATTTTACTCACTTTTGTTTATTTTTTCCGGACATTGTGCTGGTGATTGGTGGTGATTTCCCGCACAGTGAATGCACTTTACTTGTTCCTGCTCCTCTTCACACTCCTCTCTTTCACAGTTGTTCTTCCCGTATCTCCCATATCTTAAGACTCCTCTACATACTGACGGAATCTTGTAAGT